TGTTCGCCGGTAAATTGAGTCGCACGAGCGCAACACTCGCTATATTCAAAGCCATCTTCATTGCTTATCAGTTCTGACACTTGATCTTATACTTTCTCTTTCCTCAGTCAGTTATCTCTTCCTCTGTAATTGTATCATAATTTCATGGTGGAACCTTAATATTTCATTAAAATAACCATTCCTTAAACAAGACACAAGCTTGCATGGCAATTCACCATTTTTCATCAACAACTATTGTTTGACTTGTATCAATATCATTTATTTGTTTTAATGTCTCAATCAAGATGCGATCTTAAATAATTATTGATTAGCTACTTCTATTGATTGAAATATGCTTTGTTTACATATAAAATGAAATCAACAGCCAGTCAGCTTCGATTTGATTTACCTTTCATTTTGTTTACTACAATTTGTATCATGCAATTATCTGTATTATCAGCTAAAAGACTTTTCCTTGATTTTAAGATGACATTATAATTCTGATAATCAAGATGAGAATGAAAAAGAGGATTAAGAACAAGGGATTGGCTTTTCAATTAGGACGTAATATTAGTCGATGAAGGACAACAATGAAATCAACTGTTTTTTGATTGTTGAGCAAAAATGAATATCTCATGAGTTTGGTATAAAATTTAGATTTAAATTTGTTCGTATTTTCATCAACTATGATCAATATTATTTCATTTTTATTAATAAATATTGAATAAAAGCAAATTAGTCTAAAATGAAATGAGGTTTAACCTGGATATTGAATTGAAAAATGAAAACATTTTGCTTTTGCGGTCAAATGTTGATAATACTTGAAATTTCTCACGATTAAAGGCCTTTTGAATAAGAATTAGAAAAATTAAATTGGTTGAACTGGATTAAGATGAAAAGATAAATAGATTGTGATTTATGTTGCCTAATCAAAAAGATGATCTTTTCATTTTCCTTGTTTGTCGTCTAATATGGAGGAGAAGAGTCAAGTGAAAAATGTTTCCAAGAGTGACATTCATTCAAATGTAAACGTAAATTCAAAGAATTTGATTTTGTTAATTAGATTACACTTGAAACTGACCGTGCAACAGTTGAAATCAAATGTGAAATGGATTCACTTCAATTAGTGAAAATGTTTTACCTCGCACTTGTGTCCAGTTTTATAATCGTGCAAATCCACTGTGATACTAACCAATCGGATACTTGGGACTCCATAAGCTCTGACTTTCAACTCGGTAAGTTTACTTTTCCCTCTTTAATTGTTGCTAATTGACTATTAAACGACAATGTTTTTGGTTGATTTAACTCCAGGAATACCAAATTTAAATAAACCTTTGACTGAATCTACAAAGACCAGGATTGAATCAACAACTGATCGCAAAGAAACTGATTATGTAAAGAAACAAACGGAGGTGATAACGGATAAAACTGATCAATTTGACAAATGGGATGATTTGACTGATTCTGATTTGATTATACCTGATCCAATGGCTGTCAGATCATTGTTAAAGCCTGTCGATGAAAAGGCTTTTTCAGTTTCTCAAAGCTTCATGGAAGGAAAACCTGAAAACCAACAACCAAAAACAACTTTAGTAAAGTCTGTGAAGAGTAAGAAAGTTGATAAAAGCTTGGTTAATCAGAAAGTTATAACAACAGGAAAACCATTATTAAAAATATCAAGTGAATCAATTACCACTCCCAAAGCAAATCTAATCAAATTTAACCAGAAAGATGGGTAAGTAGTGTAACTAGATGATCAGTTGACCCGATAAGCGATCACTCTATTGACTTGATAATCGGTTATATTTACCTGCATAAAGTGCTAACAATAACAATGAACTTAAATGTAATTTTTATTTTATTAATTGATCAGACTCTAATGACAGTGAATTACACATCTTGTATTACTGTAAACGTCTTCATAGTATTGATTACCAAAGGGTTGATTACAAATAGCGAAAGTCATAATAAGTTGATGAATGAAACACAATTTACTTAACTTTTGTTATTCCATAACTGAAGCTCATGGAAATTATCTAGCAATTAATTGACTTATCATAGTAAACTCTTTTAAATGAAGAATCATTCGTAGTTTTATCAATGAAAGGAAGTGGATTGGAGTACAAATTACCTTGAAATGAGACGGAATAATTGATTCTTGATCAATGATGAAGATTATCAATCAACTTACAATTTGTTTTATCTTTTCATTTGGACAGAATTGGTTTATCGGTAAAGAAAAATTCAACGAAAAAAGCAACATCAGTCAATAATAAAAGACAATTGACGAGTAAATTCAACAATTTAAAGCACCAAATGAACGGATCAATCAGACGGACAAGTGATGCTTCTGTTGGGTTAATATCAATCAAGGATAGAGTCAACAAAATGAAAAGGAAACTAACACCAGAAGCAAAACGAAGGATGATTATTGGTTCACCAAGACTCTTGTCTCAAGAATCTTACCTTTCACCAATGGCACAATTTTCACCCTTTACATCCATCGGAACTGGATCAAATCAATTATTACAAGCTGGTCAGCTTTCTTTGTCACCTTCAATATCTTATTTAGCTCCAGCTTCTCAGGTTCAATTTTCACCAATGGCACCACCAAATGTGAATGCCGCACCATTGTCACCTTCAAACCTTCTTCAAAACCAAGGACCTTTTCAAACAAATCAAATTGTCGGCTCAACAAGTAACTCTGTTAACTTGATTCCTGTGAACAATGTTCAATCAGTTGCTACTTTAGCCTCACCAGGAGTTCAAACTATTTTACCAACAAATCAGGGAATCTTTACATCTAATTTTCAAGCGTCACCCATGCAATCGCCTTTACAATCAACAATACAATCCTCACCTATGGTTCAAATAGCGTCTGTTAATCAGTTAAGTATCAGTCAATTAGCCACTCATCTTATTTGTCTTTTATCTAATTCACCAACAAATCTTTTCTTTTCAGATCTCCTAATGTTCAGACTATTCCTGTAATTCAAAATGCTATTCCAGTTTCTTTGGTTCCTTCATCGGTTGGATCTGCGCCTCCATTGAAAATAACAAAAACACAACAGTTTGAGTCGCACATTGTTAATGTAAGTTGATTTAGTCATTAAAGATTCAATTTGATTTTCATCCTTTGATAATTAATTTGTTTGGCTTTTTGTTTGATTTTTAGTCTCCAGTTGCATTAGCAAGCCCTTCGATATCATCAGCGCCTTATTCTCAGTCGCATGGCTCTTCATTGCGATCAAATTTCATTCGTACACCGATTGCTCTTCGGTCACAAATTCAAAGAGCAACTTCATATTTCAGCCCTTCTTTGCCAACAAGATCTCAGACTGTTTATACTCAAACTCAATTGGTACCAACTCATACAACGGTTTATACGACCACACAATTTTCCCCAGCAACTCGAACTATTGTTTATGAAACTGATCATGTTCCTATTTATGCACAAACAGCAACTGATTCAGGAATTTCCGCTAAAACTTCTAGTAAATATGGATCATCTATAGCTTCATTGGCAAAATATGGTAAATTAGTTTATTAATTGTCTAAAAATGAGTCCAAGTATAATGCAGTCTGTAAAAATATTAATTTTTAATTTCTTTTATGTAGGAACTTCATTTTACTGAAGTGGAAGTCTGTCAACTTTTCACTGATGAAGATGGCTTATACAATGTGTTCAACTAGATTACTGATTATGCTTAAAATTGTTAAGTTTGCTCAATTGTAAATTTTTATTAATAATTTTTGTATATATGCAATTCAAAACTATTTTTGTCGCTTTTTTCGCTTTTTCATTGATCATGATTAATAGAGCAAAATAATGATGCCTAATTTCATAACATTTTGATTACGGAACTCGCAAAAATTGTAACAATTAACAATTGTAAGTAAGATTTAAAAGATAGTGAGTCAAGTGGATAGTCTATGATTATATCACATAATGGCATTAGATATTATGCACCCATGATACCAATTAATAGATATCATGTACGGTTTTATAATGTTTCTTGAGCAACTTGATACTTTCTGAAATCTACAGTTGGAAATGAAATTAGTTGGATCTCTAATCCAGCCTGGATTAGCAATTTCATTTTCACATACTTGGTTAATGTTTGCACGAATGAATCAAATTTACGGAAAGGGCTATTTTTTGGCGATATCATGATATTATGGGACAGCATAAATCATTGCAACGCAATTCAAGTAAACTAAAGTGGTAGGTAAAGCGAGAATAATTTTGAATATTAAAATAAATGTAAGTGTTACAACTTTTGCTCATCATTAGGGTAGAAACATATGATTTGGTTAGCTTATTGAGTTGATATAACAGTGACTTGGCCGAGAAACGATAAACTCATTCACTAAATAGATTTGCGATATGAGATAATTTACATAAATGCGATTAAAGCAAAAATCTAATCTGACTTCTCAAAAATTTAGCTTTTTCTTTGAACTTTTCCCCTTTCTTACAAGAACCTTTGTTAGTAAGACCACTCCATCGATTTCAAAAACATATCCATCGAAGATAACTGGCCGCATATATTTGTATAATAATCTTACCGTTTCTACTACAAAAAATTGCAATGGCTATATTTTGCTATTGATTCATTATGAATCATAAAAACACAAATCGGATTGGCAGGTAAAGAGGTTTAAAACTATTAATATAATTATTCAACAAAACTTATAACATTAATTGTTTCAAGATTTGGTTTCAGACGAATTTGTAGGTTCTGGGAGAGCCGGAGTAGTGTTTTCAAATTGTGACATTAATTTTTTCATAGAAGCTACCAAATCTATGGTTGACATCGATGAGATTCCTTTTTTAACAATTCTGTTCCAGCTTTCTATTAGCTCTTCCTTGTTTAATGGGATCTCAGGCATGTAAGGAGAAACATAAGGGCAAATTTTAGATTTGGCAGTTTCAAATTCCTTGTATAAAAATCTAGTCTTCTTCAAATCTTCCGATGATTCCATTGGCTTCCATTCACCCGCATTGACAGTCCAATACACAAATCCTAAGGGTACACCATACCTACACAAGTAAAAATAAAATTAAGACATGGCATAAATTATTTTGTTGATAACAATAAAGCTAATAATAATAATTGATTTACCAAAGGACAAGGTCATACTCAGCATCTAATGGTCAATCAAAAAGCAAAAGCATTAAAAATTCTTTACTTACTTAACTGTTGTCCGTATTAAACCCATGCCGAAATTGATTGAGAATCTTAAGTTTTAAAGTAAATTTAAAATATTTGATTAAACTCAAAGAATTAAATAAACAGAACTTGAAACAGTTGATTTAATGATAAAAACCTAAACAGTGTTTACAAAACACAGTTACAGTAAGCCAATATTGAAGTCTCTAGATGGCAGTAACAATGAAAATTATTGAAAGCTATCACATGTGATTGGCTGAAACTCATTCTCAAAGTGTGACAAATAAAAAACTACACCAATCACTTGCAAGAGCTCTGAATTGAAACTAATATTGTTATTTTGTTTACTTATTTAAAGATCGTTATATTTTGTGAGTTTTTATTTTTAATTAGTTTACACATTCAGCCTCATGCAAATTAATAAAATGAGAGTTTTGTCACCTTACATCTATAATACACCGCCTGGACCATTGCGACCTGCTAAATTGGCAAAATATCTTGCAAGATCTAGATTTAAAGCAATTCGTTCTTTTGGAGCTTCGGGAAGTGCAATTCAATTGTCCAATGAAACAGGTAATGATAATTGCAATGTGAATGTTTATAACAAAACTATCAACAACAATAAAAAAGATAGTAATTATAAGGAAGCTTATAATACCAGTAACTATAACAGTACTAAGAGTAACGGTATTATTTACCTAGATAGTCTTGATATTAATCACTCTGATGTTAACAACTCTGCTTTTAATAGCCGATTGTCAACTAAACCTGAATTATTTAAAAAAGCCTACAGCGAAGCCAAGATATTTCCTAAACCCAATCTAAGTCACATCACAACTAATCAAGCTGTTCAACCACAATCATCGAAAGTGTTTGATAATTTTGTGAAACCTGAAAAAGTTATTTCGAACAAACTTAAGTTTAAAGTCAATAATTCTACAATGTCTACCTCTACTAATGATGCAAATATAAAGTTATATCATCGACCCTCTTGGATTATCATGGATGATGAAAGTGAAAAGATGAATTCCTCACCACCGCCAACAATAAGTTTAAATGAAAGATTTTCCAATTTACCAGTGAAAAAGAAACGGGACAAAGAAAAAGGTAAACATAAAAAGAAGCGAACTCGACGAATTTCGATTCCCTCCAATACTTGGATTAGTATTAAGAATACCAAGGACAACAAGTGTAAACAGAAAAGACGAGCTCCAAAGGTTGATGATGACGAGGACGACAATGATCAAGACCAAATTGCATCAATTAGAGTAAAAGATGATTCATTTTCTCATTCGGAGTATAGCAGTAATGGTTTAAATGATAATGAGAACAACTGTGGAAGTATTCGCTCAGAACCATCAATATTAGATGATTTGGATGTCATTTCTGCTGACATCGATGACAATTTACTTGTTGATTGTATGCTAAAAGATTGGAGTGACATGGATTTCATTCTGGACCCGAATTTCCTGGATTTGTCTAAATTAGAGGAATCTATGATGTCAGATAATTAATATGTGTAAAAATTCATTCAAAGTATTCATTTTTTATTCGCTTTTTTTACCAAATCTCTAATTTCTTGATCTTCTATATTTTCTATCAAATTTCTATAAAACGACGACTATCATTAATGATGCAATAAAATTCTCATGCAATTTTGGTAAATTTTGATCAATGAATTTCTTGTCTAATGTTATTCTCGATGCAATTTGTAATCATATGATTCATCAATGGTAAAAGTTAATGAAAACAAAAAAAATGTGACAACAATAAGAGGTCATCTAGTTTTACCGAAAACATTAGAAATGCTCTCGAATGAACTCTTATTATTTTATTGTTTATTACAAAAAATATGAAGCTTCGAAATTCCCTCGCAATTAAAATCTGTATCAAATTATCGAAATAAAAGCTATTAGACACTAAACAACTGTTAAATATTGACAAAGATACTTTGAGGATTTGTAAATTGTAACAAAAGCCGAGAAACCTCTAAGTAAACATAAATTGAGATAAGAATGAATTATGAAGAGCGATTATAAGCGATGAGAAGAGCACCAATAGGGATATTTTATAGAATTGTTTGATGTAATAAAGTAAGTTATTCAGTCAATTGTTATTTAAAAAAGAAAATATTTTTTCTATTATTCAAAATGATTTTTTTAAATTTAATAAATTGTTTTGTTTCTCGATTTTTTTGTAAAATTGATTAGAATTTGGTGTTCCATTAAAAATTAGTTATGATAATACCTGTTGGTGGACATTTGATGTTCGATACGTTAATAATAAATAAACCTTAATCGTTAGCAATATGGTGTTGATTTCTTAATCATCTTTATCATTTAGAATCGATCAGCTCTTTTTTGGGATACACGTAAGTATGGTTGAGTGTGAATTAATTAGCTAGAAAACTATTCATTCATGTCGGTGGTAACTTTAGACTATCATCAATTCCGAGCCATTGACTCTATTCTGAGCCACTAAACAAGAGAAGCAAAATGATTTTGCTTGAGAAAGCAGTCATCCATGTATCAGTAAACAATCTCGGAGCAAATTTCTGATGAACACGATGTCGATGATTTATGAGGATGATTAATGAGTAAGGTGAAAACAATAGTATTGTGTTCGAGCTCGTCTGAATTGAAATGAAAATAAATGGATTGAAATGAAGAGCGTAAGGTTTCATTAAGGTTTATCCATAAATCCAATCCGATAATCTCCGATTCAAGAAATGTTGAAATTTATGTAGATGAGATAATTCACAACTAATTTAACAGTTTGCTCATGGCTTCATAATAGAAAAGTAATCAAAATTAGCTTTTTATAACCAATTGCACTAGATGATTTAGCTTCCAAATCAAACATGAGCATAATCAATTTGTACATATATCTGCTTGACTCCTATTTGCTTGAAAATACTAGATACATGACTTAAAATGTACTTTGGATCTGCGTTGTTGGACACTTCAACTTTTACATTACCAACATAGACGTTAGAACATAGCGTCCAAAAATGTTGTTCATGTACATTATAAACTTCTTCTAGTTGCATAATCTATATCAGGAAGAAAAAGAAAAAACAATTTTAATAAAAGATTTGCTGGGTTCAAGAATGAGGTTTAAATAAAAGGACATAAATCTGGTAGATCTTACCCTTTGATAGCAAGCTGGTAATAATTTTTCAAGCTCTTTTGGAGTACGCTGCATGAGAATGCCAATGGAATCACGTAATAATGGAAGAACAGATAAACCAACTAAAGTTGCAATAAACATGGAACAGATTGGGTCGGCAATCATCCAGCCAAATTGACTCATTAAAATAGCGGATATAATAACACCGACACTTCCCAAGGTATCGGCTAAGATATGCAAAAATACACCTTGCATGATTTGACTCTTTGGAGCATCTTCGCCAGATGGTATAAGTTCTTCGTGGTCATGACTGTGACCATGGCCATGGTGGTTATGAGAATGTGATGAAAGAAGAGGATTGGAGTTATTGTGTGAATGATTATGATTATTATGGTCACTGGTAACGGAAGAAGGTCCATGCGAATGCCCGTGGCCATGAGAATGTCCATGAAGTTGACCACCATGTTGAAAAGCAAAAATACCAACCAAATTTACAATGAAGCCCAAAACGGATACAATAAATAATCTATCATGTTTAACTTCAGGAGGCTCGAAAGCTCGCTCAACGGCTTCGGAAAGAATGAAAAAAGCAATAAATAATAAGAAAAGACCATTCACGAAACCAGCTATCACTTCAGCTCTTACATAACTGAAAGAAAATGAAACAGAAATTAGTTGAATGAAATAAGTTCGGATTACAATGATCGAAAGAAAATGCTCAAAATAAACTCACCCATAAGTAAATCTATCATTCGGTCTCCATTTTGTAATAACAGAGGCAGCTAAGCCAGCAACTAGCGCTGTACAGTCGAAAAACATGTGAAAAGAGTCTGATATTAAACCAAGACTGTAAATAAAAAATTTAAATTATTAGAATAGGAAAAAGTGGTAATATAGTCATTAAACTTGGATTGTCAATTCTATCTAATTGATCATCAACAAACATTAGGCACATTGAGACGATAATAAATCTGTGAAATAACCAATTCATGTTAACAAAAGATAGCAAGCATATTGATAGCAAATATGGCACGTATCAAATATTAGCCGTAAATGTAAAGTTGACAAATGAAAGTGTGGAATGGGAGAATCATATGTTTCTGACAGTCTTATGATGGCAATTACATAAATCTCTAGAAATGTTGAATTAGAGAATTTGACAAATGATAGACACGTAAATCGTTCTGTACCTGTTGGTCCATATTCCATAAAATAACTCTACAAAAGCGAATGAAATATTCAACAATAAAAATAGAAATAAATTACGGGATGTTTGATCGGCAAATATTAGCCTGGATAAAAGAAGAAAAGAAGGAAAGAAGGAAAAGATTAAGACATTATAATCAGATACATGGTAATTTAGATAAGCAAAAGTGAGGATAAATCGGTGTAAATGTAATAGTTACCTTAACCATCCATTTAATTTCTCTTTCAACCGGAATCCTTTGGAAACCTTGTATTCTTTTTCATGATTATGAAGAGGAAGCATTGATTGATCTAATTTGAACTAATTGCACTTTCACGTAATCGCAATAGAACTGAGTAACTAACAAATTTCGAATTAAATTAATTTAAAAAAAACTACCTTACTAAATCAAAGACGATTCACTTAAACCAGGATGGTTGCAATATTTTGAATGTTTCTTTTGATCAACCATGGAGACAATGTTGACGTTGCTTTTCCCTTTCTTTTTCTCTTTCCAAGCACTACACCGGAAGGTACCAATAAAGTTCATAAGATGGCGCTAAAGCAAGCTGTTTAGTCTTTTCCCAAAATTAATTAAAAGTTTTACTATTTTAATTGTGATAACGTTTCTCAATCAATGCATATCAACAATAAAATTAATATTTCAATGATTAGGATTCATTAAAGTTGATTCAGACATTAATTAATTATTGCTTGAGAGGAGACGTAAACTGCCCTCTCTGTAATTGCATGAAAACTAACAATGAAAGGTAAAAATTGAAGCTAACAGCTGGCTAAGCCATGATGCTGAATTAAATTGATTCAATCAATATTTTTGTCCGAATTTTAATTAACACGAATTGATTGGTCAATTTGAAATCATAAAAATAGTCCATGATAGTTGCAGACCTCGAGACGCTACTATGAAATTATGATGAATTGATAAATGACAGTTAATGAGCGGTTTCATGTAATTAAAAGCGTCATTTTAATATTAATATATTTTGGAAAACATGTCCGAAAACATGAGGGAATTGTAATATTAGGATATTTAAGGTTTCAATAGTATTTCAACCGATGAAATTAAATACTACCAGATGAAGAACAATGTGAGCGAAAATGAAATCAGCAAAAGCTCGTTCATTACTGACTTCACCAAACTCGGATTTGTTTGCAGGATTAACTTGTAAGCGAAGGCTGACACCAAGAACGAAAGATGCCACAGAAGAAATGAATCCAGATAGGAACGAGTTGAATGGAAAGGTACCAACAAATAAACAATAGATAAATTGAATAACTCCAGTAAGAAAAATGTAGAATAAATAAGCATCTATTATTTTCAATTTTTGTGGGGTTGTTGCTTTGTATTCTTGGAAAAAATTTGACATGACTTTAACTAATTTGGTCATTTTGACGGCTTGGTATAAAATGGACTTTGAAAACAATTAAATAGACAGAAACACAATCAATAAATATTAAATTCAAGAATTTAAACAAAAATAAATGAACACAGAAAGATGTGATTCTAGAGATGGCGTGTCACAGTAAATATGCTTTTTACTCAGCTAGTCGGTTTTAGTCTCAGTCAGTCAACAGCTGAATATCAAATCTCAGCTAACCGGCAACCTGAAGATTGACGAGACTTTTAACGAAAATTCAATCGAAGAAGTTGAATCTTATTTCCTGATTAGATGGGCTTAATGAAACTTATGATTTTTTAAGATTGACATATTTTTGATACAGTATGCGCCTTTGAAACAATTTGCTATTTGAACTTTTATTGTTTCGTGGTGAACTGGTTCAGTCATTGATTGATACAAAAACTGATATGCTGGATGTACTTTACAGTTATTTGTTACAGAAAAGTAAACGAATTTAGTGAACATTGCTTTACTTTTTTAGTTCAGGCAAAATATGCGAATAAAAATTACAAAGTATATTAAATATATATATCATATTAAAGTATTTTGACAACAATTTTTTTCATTTAACCCAAAATGACGGAATATAAAATTTAAAAGCTTTACTTTGATAAATATTTATCAATTTTCTCGTTTATTTCTGGAATCGCTTTGAAAAGATCAGCCACTAGACCAAAATCAGCAACTTCAAAGATAGGTGCTTCCCCGTCTTTGTTTATGGCAACTATAGTTTTAGAGTCTTTCATTCCGGCAAGATGTTGAATGGCACCTGATATTCCAACAGCAATATAAAGTTCCTGAAATTTAAACATAAAAAATTTATCAGTAAATGAATACCAATACAGAAAAACAAACAATTACTTACAGGAGCAACAATTTTACCAGTTTGACCAACTTGAAGATCGTTTGGAACAAAACCTGCATCAACAGCAGCTCTTGATGCACCAACAGCAGCACCAATTTTATCAGCAAGATCGTAAAGAAGCTTGAAGTTATCACCGCTTTTCATACCTCTACCTCCAGAAATGATCTTACTAGCAGCCGTTAACTCGGGTCTGTCTGATTTCGACAACTCGGCACTGATCCATTCAACCTGATCAACCTTTACATCAATTTTATCCAATTTTTCGATAGGTACATTAGCGGAATCAGAAAGTTCATATTTTTCGAAATTGGTTCCTCGGACAGAAATCAGCTTAATTGGGTCTTTGGCTTTTAGAGTTTGAACTGCATTTCCTGCGTAAATTGTTCTAGAGATAAACAGATATAGATATAGATGAAGATAAAGATAAATGGGTGCTCGACCTTGATGGGTATACTTGACTAGCATAGTAAGCATATCGATATTGCAAAGAACTGCAGCATTAGAATGAGAGTAGACTTGACTTACCTGATAAAGGTTGAATCATCTTTGATCCCAATAATATCAGAAATAGGTGATGCATCCAAATATCCACCAACACGGGGAATCAAATTTTTACCAAAGGCATTAGCACCACAAAGAATATGAGTATAACCGTTAGTTTTCTGTAATTCAACAACCAAAGGAGCAATAGCTTCAGCCAGCATTCCCTTGAAAGCTGGATTATCTCCGACGAAAATTTTCTTCAACAGGTCAACTTTTGATAATTCTTTAGCGGCATTTTCAACACCATCACCAACAATTAGACAATGCATCTCATGTCCAAGTTGTTTACCAGCTGTGACACAGCTTAATGTGATCGGATCAAGCTTACCATCTTTGTGATCACCAATAATCAGAGTGCTTGCATATCGATGAGAAAAGCTTCTTGAACTATGTGAAATTTTGCCAAGCAAATTGTTTTGAAATAAGTTTCGCAAAGCCATTTCACTTAACACAAGTAATATCAAATCTTAAACGAATAGTTAAATTTTAGTAAACTTTAAAATTGACAGAAGCCTGTTACAATAACAAAATTAGTTTCTTAAGGCCAAACTCAACTCAAACCAGACTTTGAGTTTTCTGGTTTCTCTTAAAAAATAGTACAGCCATCTTGTGTCTCATTCTAATATCACGTTAGAAAAGGAAATTTCTTAAATTTTAATTGCAGTAATTGCTTTCGTTTAATTTAGCCCTACGTAAATAAGTTATGTGAGTTAGCTATCTTGACGGTAATTGAACTCGAAAATCAAGTATAAAGCTCATGTAGATAAAATATATTCAAGTATTATTTTATGTTAAGATTACGATTTTATTGGATATGTAGATTGGTCATTAAAATTAAGGCATTTGTTTAGTTGGTTCATATGATAAAACAATCGATGAGCATGCAAGCTACCATGATTTTGAATTCTATCCTCTTCAATATCTGATGATAAACTTTCCTTAACCATAGGATCATGCATTCTTGAAACCTTTTTCACTTTCACATCATCAAAAGTCATCATCTGACAATCACGCCGACAACAAGGGAAATGATAAAATCAAAAGACTGCTGAAAGTCTCAAGATCGACCGATCACACCCGTAATTTATAATGAGTGTTACCCTACTTTTAATCTTGCATTCACTGATAATCAATTTCAATGGGTTGGTTAACCTTTAGCATTTACAATTAAAGATTGTAAATGACCTGTGGAATCGAAGCAAACAACAAATAAACAATACCATCATGAGTTAATCACGCTTACAGTAGTAAATTAGATGATAAAATTTATTGCTTACATTTTGAAATAATCAATTGAGATGGCTAACGGTTTTTACTGATTCTGAGGCTTCCGTAATTAAAAGAGATCATTTCAGTGGTAAACAAATCAAGTTTTGTGAGATTTGATTTAATTTCATAACTTTGTTGGACAAGAAAACCAAATACGAAAGCTTGATTTCTCGTTTTCAATTGTGTTTATAAAACATTGGTTCAAATAAACGTACTGTGTACATAATTACTGTTGATTTTCATTACAATATTTTGGTGTTGGGATCATTTGCACAGAGTGGATACCTTAATCAAATGGTGTGGAGTAAAATTTTAAAGAGATTTGACTTTTTCTATAAACCTTCTAGTTAAGTGCTAATAATGGAGCTAATCTATGAAAGGAAAAATGAAAACCTTACAAGATATTTTTTGTTACAATGAAAAGAAATTACGTAAAGAAAAAGGAATTAAGGGTTAAGAATAAGGCAAGGAAAGGAAAGGAGAAAATTCAAAAGGATAAATTACAAGGAGCTTATGATCTGCATGGTTTTAGTATCTTCTTTTGGTTTTAGTTAGACATTTTTTGCTTGAAACAATAGTTGAGAAAAATGAATAACGTTGATGTGTAATAAGAGTTAATCACAATTAGTTGACTTTTGTGATTTTTTGTTACTTTCGAATTTCTGTACAACTGGAATCCAGGGAGATGAATTTCACTTTGCATTTCCTTGTAGCTGAGTGCTGATAGTATTAATGATGTTTAAATTAGTGATTGGGCCTTGAATCCATTCAAATAACGTCTATTGTGGATGTTGAATGCTGTTGTGACTGAGTAATTCCAAAGTATAGTTAACTGTAGAATTTGAGTTTTATCTTATAATGGTCAGGTTAATAAGTGAAATTGATTTACTCCAATTGGCATCAAGGTACTAGCGTTACATTAATATTTATCAGTAGGGTGGTGAAAAGTAGATCAGTTTGATGTCAGTCAATTTTGTTAACACGAAAATCTCTTGATTTCTCACTAAATTGGCAAAATGAAAAAGTCTAATGTAAAATGCATCGCCAACTATTAAAATATGAGCAATCGAAAACGCAATGCATTTACATAGACTTTTTCTTTTGATGAATTTCACAGCCTTAAACTTGAAATTTTAATTTCAAGTGGACTGACAATTGAAAACTGTCAACAAACTGATGATTGAGCAATATGAAAAGGTAGCAAATTGCAACTAAAAAGACAAAATATGAGTAGAAATGGGATAAGAGAGGGACAAACAGAAGCTTAATGAGCTTAATTAACTATATATTAAGAATTGCAATGTTGTCAACTTCAGTTTAAGTAAAGTTTGCAACTTGAATGGTAGCAGTTCACTTTATATATCACCAGCCTATTTTTTTTGGTATACACCTGGATAATTCATGAGGATTATTTTCAGCTTCTATGTTGTTGTTTCTCCGGTTTCCAAAATAATGAGTTCAATTTTACACCAAGAGTATAAAACATTAATGAACAACTCAAAGGAATGATGGCGAACAGCAATCTATACGGAATGGTTAACTTTAGGAGAAAGGGGTAAGGCCACTTGTTGAAGACGAAACCCATGATCAATGTATAGACACAATAGGCTGAAAAGAAACTGATAGTCACAGCACGACCCTCTGATGAGGACGGCCTGGAATGATTGAAACATATTCCTTCAAGTATTGCTGCTGGCATAATCCAAGTGTGTATGGAATGGTTAATCCAACTTGGTAGGAGAGATGCATCGGTCAGGATAAACTTTGGGTTAATAAAGGTGAGTCCCCAAAAGAATGTAAACACAGTGGTACCAATGGGGAATATAATACCAAAGTAAATTAAATCACGGATTGAATTTTGTTCACGTCCACTTCGAAGGTAAGGTAGAAAATGGCAAAGTAGTGATATCGAATAGAATAAAGCTGCAGCCGTCTAAAGATGGAAAAATGATAAGAGAGAAAAATTAGAAACTCAAAAAAATAATGTGAACAGATCAATGAGTATAAATGTGCAACATTGACATAAAACCAAACCGGCAACAACCCGGTATCAACCTGGTTGTGGATTGATTGAAGGTAGATAATTTTTATGAGAACATCTTGATGATGATTTTAAAATATTAAGGTGAACTTACAATATTCCAAAGAGTTAAGAAATTAGCTCGTCCATAACCTTCTGGAATAATTTTACCACATACGTAAAGGCATGTGAAAAAGAGTGTAGCTGAAAAGATCCGATTAACGGTTCCAATAACTGTCTTAGAAAGCATGGGATGATGATTAATAAGTTGCCGAGACCTATGAAGATGAAATAAACGACGGAGAAGCAAGAGAAAAATGAACAAATCTGATTAAAATAAAATACAAGATAATTATGTATGAAAAGAAGGAAAGGAGAGAAGCATTTGTACAGGTTAGATACAGACTAGGGTACAAAATATAATTTTTACATACCAAAAATAAAGAAATAAGACAACAAGATTAGACAATTAACACAATATATTAAAATTTAAATTCAACAGTAGGTTCATAAAAATGTAAACATCATTTGAGTTAATCAACAGATTTTAACCCTAAACCATGAAGTAACGTGAAAGAATGGGAGAAAATTAGAAAGTAAAAAAGAGAGAGACAGAGAAAGGCAGGAGGTAAAAAGAAACTAAAGATACAGAAGGAGAGGCAAAAAGTGAGAGCAAGGAGATCAATAAAAAAGCGGCTGAGAAGATTAAAAACATATGAGTCTGGATTGAATTAGTTCTTGATTGATAGTTGATTAATATTTTCAAATTACGCATCTTCCTGATACAACAATCAATTCTTAATATTTGATAAATGGCAAACTCTTGCTGTTTAACATCTATGGTGTTCAGGATAAAACTTAATAACTCATTTACAATTTCTATCGTATTTAATTGATGATGTATTTAAATTATTGCCATTTTGTAAGATTTATCTTTAATTTGAGGTTTTAATCGACTCAAAATAAGCTGTATGATTAGTTTAATTGATAAAACGATTAAAATGTTCCGGTGAAATAAAATTTGAAATTGGCTCCGAAAATCTCCCGATATATAAGGACAGCCCCTTGAAATGTTTTGAATGTCTGCCTGGAAAATGTTAACTAACCAGTTACTTGGTTACTCACATCAAACGACTAGTCAACTTTAAAAAGCTGCATTAAGCCTTTCTTATTAATTTGAAATCATCTTTGTACTGTAATTGAAGTATAATTTTGGATACATCTAGTGATGTCAGTTACTTGGCGATCAAAAACAACTCACAATGTCTCAACTCGAGTGGTAAAATCAGATGAAGCCGATGATTGGGAAACTGATCCAGATTTTGTGGTAAGATTTTCATTAAATATATGTTTTGTTCATTTTATTCATTCCCAATTCAAGGTTGATCAAAGTAAACCTGATGACTAAAAGTATATTCTCAATTTGCAGTTTATTAAACTTGATAATTTACCCTCTTTTCAGCCTATTCACCGTCAGTTGAATAAAAAAAATCTTTTCCTACTAGTTTAAAACTCTTCAAGCCAATTTCCATTCTTGCCTTCACCTTTTCTCTTGTTTATAAATTATCCATTAAACCATGAAACCCTTTAGGCGAATCCACTTGATCTATCAAATGAGTTTAATTGTCGTTATCTTTTTTTGTTCCTTTCTCCTCTTGAATTATGTTGATCAGATTGTCACTCCTTTCTTTTCCATTTATTTCTAATCGTTTCAACCGTTTCAATTGCAAGTCTTGAATTTGTACCTTCGACTACTGTAATTTTTACCACTAAATGTATGTCTAACCGTTTGCCAGGTAGAAAAATTTACTAGAATTACTTTGTAATTGTAATCTTTCCTATTCACGCCTTTTTATTTTCTAGCTCTGACTAGAATTATAACTTTCCCATTTCGATGGCTTCAAATATAGTTCAATTGATTGTTTATTGCAAATGTTGAGAGGGTTGATAATCATTAATTTATTAGGTGATAATAAATTGTTAAAGATGATGTTTATCAATGATCATGTTGATATTGTAAAAGGAAAAAGAATTAAGCATTTCTGTGTTATTTTTATTTTACATTTCAATGTTACAACAATTAGTATTTACTCATTTGGTTTTCGATGAAACATCTGATAACTCAGATTCTGATATGATTCTGATATGCATGAAGGATTCTCATTACATTTAGATGAGTAATGAATAGATTTTCACTGTTGAATGGTAACTCTTGACTACAGTTGACTTGATCTGAATTAATGATTAACATTACTACTTTTACTATAACTCCATTATTATTTTTTGCTTTCTATTTACAAATCAAATTAGCTTTTCAATCAATCAATCAAATTTAGGTTGAATAGCAAGTAAAAAATGCACACCAATCTCTACATTCACAATAATTATTAATACGTGATAATTGAAAAGCTGTCCATTCCAATAAATTAGAACGTCTCAGTGTTGGTGGATCAACAAAAAAATTCATTTCTTATCTAATAATTAATAGTTCAATTAAAGGTTAAAGTTGTTAAAAATTGTCTGAACAGCTTTGATCGATAATGAAAACGTTAGCATTGACTTTGTTTTGATTTCTAAATTTAACTTAATTGTATGCTAATTTCAAGCAAACATGACTAATCCAGCCAATATGTTTCGTCACATTTACAACTCAACTTCAATATTTGATTTCATTCAATACAATTGACTAATTATTCTTTTCTCTCTCTTTCTCTCCATCTTTCTATCGCTCTCTTGATCGTGATTATTTCATCAAATTTCAGAACGATGTATCAGAAGAGGAGCAACGTTGGGGATCTAAAACTGTTGAGGGATCGGGTCGAGTTGTTGGTGCTTTAGAGTAAGTATTTTTTGTCCAATTATGTTTATATTTAAATATATTTAATGATTGATTGTGCTTCGTTCTTTCTAGTGTCAATGAGCTCCAGAAAAAGGTGGAAATTGAACATCAAAAATTTAAAGAAGAGTTTATTCATGTTTCACAAGTTGACGCTAAGAAAGGATTTGGAGGAAAATTTGGTGTAGATAAAGACAGAGTTGATAAATCTGCTGTTGGCTGGGAATATCAAGAAAAATTGTCTAAACATGCCTCACAGAAGGATTATTCAACTGGCTTTGGTGGCAAATTTGGTGTACAAAAAGATCGTGTTGATAAATCTGCTGTTGGCTGGGAACATAAAGAGGTTTTGGATAAACATGCATCTCAAAAAGGTAATATCCATTGATCAAGGGAAAAAATCACATTAACATCTCAATTTTTCAATCATCTCTATGTGATGAAACTGCCTGAAAACCATGAAATTACAATTATTTCCATTCTCTCAAACCCAAAAACAAAGTTCCACTTGGATATCAACATATAACTGTGACATTCCCATTTCCTACGTATCAGGATGTAAATAATGAGTTATTCATCGTGAGAGAGTGAGAAAGTTGTAAATTTCGGCTTTTCTAATTCTCATGTGTTAGCTTTAACAAATCTTACTAAAAAGCCACAAAATTTTGATGCGTGTTAATTGTGGTTGCTCTAACCCTTTAAAAATTACATTATGGAATGGCAATTTCGTTGAGTCAATTTAATTTAAATTGAGTTATCATTTTCATTTTATCCAGACAAGGTTTTTTTTGCTTTGTAATATTTTTCAAAGACAGCAATTGTTAACTCTTGTGAAAGAATTCAACTGATTCAGATTTTTTTTTGTTTCAAAGACTGAGGATAAACAATAGTTGGTGAACAATCTGCAATTGGCATCATGCTTTTGACTAATTCACAAAACATTGACTCATAATTTGCAATGTTTATCTGGTACTTTTTTCATCTAACGAGCATGACTCTTGATTTGCCAAAAATATCATGTAAATAAAGTGATTCAGGCAATGATTTCATGTAGATTATGTCACTTTCTCTACGTTTTCACAGTTAACTTTCTTTTCCTCAGTTAATAACCTTCATCTTACGATGGATTCAGATTAATATCTTTCATAAACATACACTTTCTTGAAATACATGCATAAAAATCAAACTAGTAACCAATCAGTAAACTTGTTTCTCCTTTTCATGCAAGAGAATCAGTCTTTAGGTGCTTGCAGTATTTCAAGGTTAATCAACTCTTAATTTACTACTAATTAACCCATTCTATTTTATCATATCAGATTATGTAACTGGTTTTGGGGGAAAGTTCGGAGTACAAAAAGACCGTGTTGACAAATCAGCTGTTGGCTGGGAACATCATGAAACGGTTGAAAAGCATCAATCACAAAAAGGTTTAGTTTTTTATTTTGGGGTAACTCATAAGAATTGAGTATCTAACTTGATCTGATCTTGCTGTTTAGATCATAATATTGGATTTGGTGGTAAATTTGGTGTCCAAAAAGATCGTGTCGATAAATCAGCTCATGGTTGGGAATATCATGAAAAAGTCGAGAAACACGAGTCTCAGAAAGGTATTTTCGCACAAAAAGAATAAAAGAACAATTTTAAATGGCTGACATTTAATGACACTTGTTTTTTACGGTATAATAGATTACACGACTGGGTTTGGAGGCAAATTCGGTATCCAAAAAGACAGGGTTGATAAATCAGCAGTTGGCTGGGAACACCGAGAAGTGGTTGAGAAACATCAATCACAAAAAGGTACAAAATATTGTTGACAGCTCAACTTTCCAAACATGACGATTTAATAATTATATTTTCCTTTCATCTTGCAGATCATTCCGTTGGTTTCGGTGGTAAATTTGGTGTGCAGAAAGATCGTGTCGATAAATCAGCTCATGGTTGGGAGTATCATGAGAAGGTTGAGAAACACGAGTCTCAGAAAGGTACTTTTGCTGCTTGAAATATTTCTACATTTTTCTAATGGCTCATTTTTCTATAGATTATTCGAAAGAATTTGGTGGAGCTTTTCGTCTAGAAAAGGATAAAGTTGACAAAGCAGCTCAACTTTGGAATGATAAAGAAAATGAAGAAGAAGAAGCTAAAAAGAGCAGCAGAGGAAGTTCCGTTGAACCAGAGGCAATTGTTAAAGGAAAAGCCAGTAATTTACGAGCTAAATGGGAAAATTTATTCTCAGATAAAGGAGAAGAAGATAAGAAACGCGTCGAGGAAGAGCGCGTTCGGCGTCTAGATCGTGAAAAGAGGGAAAAGGAGGAAGCTCGTCAAGCAGAAGAAGCTCGACAAAAAAGATTGAGTGCTGATGCACCAATTGAGACTGAAGATACTGAAGAAACTCGTGAAGAACCCGAGGATGACTCAAGTGAATCTAAAGATAACAAATCTCCCAAAGTTAACCGTATTGGTGTTTCCGTTTTTCCGTCCTCCTTCCGATCTTCTAATGCAAGTAGCATTGGCCCGACTACAGTAGCTGAAAGCTCTTCAGCTGAAGTTGAATGTGAGGACATTGAAGGTGGTTCAATACTTAAGGAGCGAAGTGAAAAGCACGTTGAAAAAGTTGAAAAGCTTGATGGTGATGGAGAAAAGGTTGAGAAGTATGACGTTTTCTCGGAAAGACAAGAAGTTCATCGGGCTAATTATGGTTTTGTTGAAGAATCAACTAAAGTTGAATCGAAAGAAGAAAGAGTTTGGACATCTTCCTCTTCAGCTGATAAATCTGACACTTTATCAAAAATTGCTGACAAATTTAGTGAAATTAAAGTAACCAGTAAATCTGAATCAACATCTGGTAGCTCATCAACTGTTGCTACATCAAAAGCTGATAGTATTAACCAATCACCTGACCATGTCGAAGAAACCGTTCCATTATCGTCCGCCCAAAAGAAATCAGAAGATTCGCCAACATCCCCACCGAACCTTAAAGCTATAGCTTTATATGATTACCAAGCCGCTGATTATGATGAGATTAGCTTTGATCCTGATGACATTATTACTAATATTGAAATGATTGACGATGGATGGTGGAGAGGAGAGTGTAAAGGTTCAATGGGATTATTCCCTGCCAATTATGTTCAGCTGCTAGATGACTCAGGAAATTAAAGCAAACTATTTTTCAGTCAGCCATTTTCATCTACTAGTGTTTTTTGACTCCATATTGTGTCTATTTTTCATGTTTACATTTGATAATTATTAGTATCTGCAAGCCGAAAGGAGATTGAACTGAAATTATCTGCAAGAAGAAAAACAAAAGAAGAGGCAAAACATTATTGATTGTCAAATCAAATCATTTAAGATCCATAATAATATATTCCAAGAAGCGGCAAAAATTCAATTGATCTACAAATTTATCTACAATCGAATCGAGATGAAAGAAGAAGAAATTAGTTTCTAAATTAAATCATCTATTTATTTACAAGAAATTACTTTATAATCATAACATGGAGCGACAAGATCAACAATCCAAGTTAACAAAGTATCATGCAACAATGAATATGCTTCCATTTGATGAAACCAAGAAAACCAATGGAGACAGACAAGCATGAAAGATTAAGCTTCAAAGTCCTTCATTTGATGATGCAAATTAACTCGATTGAATAATCAACCATTTAAATCCCAATGAATTAATCGTAATTCATGCCTAGTTAACTTTAATTTAATTCATTTTCCATCATCTTCTTCTTACAAACTCTTCTTTTACCAGTCATTTTTGATTATTGATTCATTTTGAATCACGAACGCAAAGCAAGATGCATTGTATTTCTTATAACTCACTATGAGGCTGTATCTTAAAATCAATTAAAATGTTATTGGTTGCAAAATTATTGTCAAATAAATCGGGTTATTTCCAACATCTCCAGAGCTCGCCACCAACATGGTTAGATAATAGTTTATAGTTCAACTAACTCCCTGTAAATGTGAAAAACTCTGAGTCTGTCAGAAGGTTAAAAGAGCACATTAGACAACATAAAAGTTTCAATGATCAAACAAACTGAAACATTAACAAACTATTTATGTATATCAATGAACATGGCTTTTTTCACACAAAAAGTTTCAATAAAATATTGAACAATTAGTTGTCAAATAATAGCCTTTTCATCAATCTTCTTGTTCCAAAAATATCTCAAACAGTTTGTGGTAAGTTAATTTAATCAGCCAACAATAAATATCGAGTGCAATTTGGATTTATTATGTTTCAATGTTTCCAATTGAATTGTTACAATTTTTCGTCCATTTAAGCTGAAAGTAAAACAGGTTTAAATCACAAGGAGAAAAAAGGTTAATGTTTGTGTGTTTGTTTAATGTTCAATTATAATCACCTTAATTTGGAATACAATTGACCAAAGGATTAACAGTGATTTAAAGCAAAGGATAATCAACCCAAAGAAAAGTCAACAATCAGTTTCCAATGATTTAAAATGCAATCAAGTTGTGAATGTTACCGTTGAACCATGTTAATGTTTACAGTGTTACACCTTTTATTACTTTCAAGTGATTTAATAACTTGTTCATCTGGTAAGTCGATGAACCAATTTGAATACAAAACCAAACAATTAAATTATAATCACATAATGACCGATTAAAATCCAAAATTGACCAAAAACCCAAAACCAAAAACCAAAAGCCAAAAGATGAACCCAAAGTCTGCAAGCAAAAAGACCCAAACATAAAGGAAAAGACAAACAATTGAATTGAAATTGGTAAAAGCTAATTACATCGTCGATTAACATAATTATTGAACAATAAATTAGAAACAATTGAAAGATTAATTGATATTCCTTTCAGTATTCAACAATTAAGATATTGAAAGAATGGGTTGATAGAGAAAGGCAAGAAAAAAGAAGAGGCAACTCATTGGAACCCTTTTATTCCCTATTTTCATCCCAATTTAAATTCAAATGTACATTTCTAATAACAGACAATATCAGACTCTTTTCTCATCATCTTATCTTCATCTCATTTAAATTGATTGAAAACAATCAATTGAACATCAAACTTATATCAACTGTAAATCAACATTAGTTGAACCTTTTCCTTACTTTCTTATTAAGAAACATTTTGTATCTTCTTTGTTTGCATTTTTGTTTCTCTTCTTCTTCCCTTTTTTCAGCCTCATCTAACATTGTTATCTGTTTCAATTCTGACTCAATTTCAATCAACTTTCCTCTCTTTTCTCATATATATTACAATCATGATGATGATTATTTAGTTACTTAACATGAGTGAATAAAGAAAGAGTAAATCTTGATATTTTATGTTTCATTTATCTTTCAGCTTTTCAACTTTTCTCCTTTTTTCACTCCCAAAGAACCTTCACTAACCAAATGAACTTTACTCTGTAAAAGATAACAAAAGACTTCATTTTTTTCATTCCTCTTTCACCATAATCATCATTATCATCATCATCATCATTGAATCTTTCATTGAACGCATGAAACTACCGTCTAGTCTTTGCCTGATCTTCCCTGTGTAAATTACAAATGAATTGTTTTATTAACTTTAATCATTCATTTATCATTTAGCCCAGTAAACTATCTAATTAGGTGAAGCTAAAAAAAGAACTGTCATTTGATGAATTAACATTTCCCTTTTAAATGCCATTCTAATCACTTTATCATATTAACTGGTTTTAATCCAGACTTCACTCCACACCATTTGAACAGATGACAGTAAAGATGACAAAAATCAATCTTATTGTAAAGCAAAGGTTTTTCATTGTTGAGCCAAATTGAATTTAATTATTCAATTGCAAACATTTAACTGGGTTTTTTTAAGGCAAAAGGAGTAAACTTGATTAAACAAGATCAACAACAAGATAATACAAGTCGACTTTCAAGTCGTGTTATTAATTTAAAGCAGTTTCAGCAGAGAGGTTAAATGATACAGACAAAAGTTAATCAATTGATTGATGAATAAAAGTTAATTTGGTTGTAAAATTACAGCCCAACAAGAGATGAGTCTTCAGTGTTTGTTTAGTTGTGTGTTGGGTATCGATTAATTAACTCTTGATGATGACTTGTCTGCATAATCAACTGAATAACGTTCAAAGTAAACCAAAAATTTACTTTAATCTTTCAATTAACCAATGATATTTACAATTAACTTGGAGGTGAAAACGTTATAAACCTTTGGTTTTTTCAGACAAAAATTTTTCTAAATCAAAACGAATTCAAATTCTTGACAAATTGATAAATAATTGAAAGAATCGTTTAAATCATTTTCAAATGCTTACAAGGTTTAAACCTTTTAAACATAAAATTCATTTGCAAAGTCATTTTCCCAAATTGAAACTCATCAGACTGAATAATGATAATATCAAGAGCATTTTCAAGTTGAATGGTCATTCAATAGAACCAAGTTCAATCCAATCAGAAGAACAAAAAGTGATAGAAAAGTCCAAACTATTTTTATGCGAAAAACTAAAATATTTACTTTGAGAAGGAAATTCCTATTCCATGAGATGAAGAACTAAAAGTTAATTTCTATTAATAATATGAGAAATTCATGAAAGGTGCAAAAATTGGATAAAATTTCTGAGCAAACTCGACTATTAATGGTTTTGAGTAAGATAAGAGCTCGTGGAACATTTCACTTTATTGTTCAGCATTTACCGTTACATTTGATTCTCAAGCGCTTCTTTCATATCATACTTTTATGAATATTTGGTTGAACAGATCTTGATAGCTTAAAGTCTTTATTTTAACCAATAAAAGATATTGATCTAAATAGAAGTGAAATTTTCGAGTTCGACGTGAAAGTTGAACCAATTTTTACAGAAAACCGATCAAAAACAAATATTGTTTATTTATTTGTATCAACAAATCTCGTTTCAATGAACATTGTCTTTTTAAAATTCTAACCTAAAAAATCTTAATTTTAGGTTTAGACCTAAAGGCATTCTGGTAGCAATATTGGTTATATTGGTTTGCAAAATTATTTGTGTTTATCAAAGCAAAAATGAATAAAACTTGTTCAATTTGAAAATCTGTTCATCTTGACTCTCACTTCACCAAGACTATTTCCTGAGAGCAAATTTTCATTGAATAATTTCCATGACGAGAAAATTTCAATCAAATTTTTACCAATCGTTCAAATGGATTTTATCGCTCAAAGTGTTACTCAAATAATAGGGAGAAACAAGTTATACTTCAACATCTAAATGGTCAAATCGTTATTTCAAGTAGTTTTGTAACTTTTGTTTTCAATGTTAATTTCAAAGTGAAATATGCAGCAAATTCAGTGAGCTTGGAGAGTTGATTCATGAAAGTATTATTCAAAAGCTAATAGCATATGAGAAATAATCAAATCCATCAAGAATAGCAAAATATTGGTCAATTTGGTTTAAAATTTGAGAAAAGCTTTCTAAAAGCTTTTCAAATTTTTGTATCCAAATGTATTGATAATACACTTGATAATAACAATGAAATGGAAATAAAGAAAAGTATATTTATAAGAAGATACTTTTACTTACTATTCATTGTCTGATCATGATTCATTTTCACCCTGAAAGAAAAAAGATTCAAAAAGAAGAAAAAAAATTGAGAGAAAAAATTGAAAATGAAAAGTCTAACTGTTTTCTTTAACAATACTAATAGAATGGCTATTAGTTTAAATGATTTCCTATTATAACATTTTCAGACTCGTTTTCACCTTCCAAATGTTGACCACTTTTTCATGTCAAAATCATTCAACAGTTCTCATGAGGTTCTTCAATTGCCTCATTGAAACGATAGAAGCCATTGTCCATCAAGTTCATCTTGATGGACAAAAATGGTCAGCCAAAAGTTGAAGAAGAGTTGGAAAAAGAAAAAAGAATTTCAAATCAAAACGAAGAATACTTTTCTTTCATTTCATTTCATTTCAATTTCTGTGGTCAATTTGAATCGCAAGACTCATGAGAATCACAAAGCCTAAGATGAATCCAATGATGATATAAAAACGATAAAATGGCAAATTGATAAAAGTTGAAAAAATCATTGATTCAAAATGAATATGACAATTGATTCCAAATGTTTAACATTTCATGATAATGTGAATGGAAAATAGAAGTAAAAAATTTTCTCATGAAAATAAGAAAAAATTTAATGTCAAACTGGGATTGACTGGGAGTGAAAATGTTATCGCTTTGAGAAGAGAGAAAAAATTGTTGATAAAATTGTTTTTGCTACATTCATTTTCATCATGATAATGTTTGAGCTTCTTTTCATGTCAAATGTTCATCTTTTTGTTTTCACTTAACAAGTTGTTATCATTTTCAAGTTACTTTACCTTTTATTGTCATTGGTACACTTAAGATGATGAAGGTGATGAAGATGAAAAGTGAAGATGGGTAAAGCTGCAAGGAAAAGATGACAAGCTTATTGAGGTGAGTTGCTACTTTTTGTGCTTCTCTCTCTGGTTACTTGTCAGCTCACTTGTAAACATTAATTTTATTGCAGTTCTTGTACCAAATGATAAGATGATCTTTATTGTTTCTCTCATTGTTTTTAACCTTTCCTTTTAGTCAATAATCAACCATCCAAGAAGGTTATGATGACACCAAATGGTTTAACCTTTGACAACGTTTCTCATGAAATGAGCAAAATTGAATTATGCTCATTAAGTGAGCCTCGAAAAGGACACACTAAATGGATAACCATAAAAGCTGACCAATCTGATCAATATTTTGAAGAGAAGCAAATCAATGTTAATCGCTCTCAAGATGAGATTGATATATCGCTTTGATTGGCAGAGAGTCAAATTGGTCCAATGAAAGCAACATTAAATAGATTCAGATTTAATGCTTCTTGAACTTTGTCCAGTCGAGTAAATGTGTCTAGCTTTGAAAATCGTTTAAGAAGCTCATTCTAATAGCATTTGATTCTGGTTTTCTTAATGGCTGATCATCTTGAAACTATTTAATTTTCCAACAAAATTTAAATTCCAAACGAAAGACTGAATTTTGTATAAAAGTGAAAGTTGATTTCACAAAATGAACATTTGAACGTCGAGTTTTCTTGCTCTATGCTCAAGATTTTACTGATGAATGAAAAGGAAGCATTTGAAGAGGAAAATTTGCCAATTTCTTGAAAAAGATATTCAAAGTCGAAGAGAAACTTTTTTTGCTTTAAAAATAGCCTTTAGTTATTCAAAGATATTTTTAAAGTTGATATGAGGAAATGAAAAATTAAATTTACAATTTTTCTTTATCGACTGATTTTTGAGCAGAAAATTTCATTTCATTGAATAATGGAAATGTTACAAAAAGGCCTAAAAATATCTTTTGCTCAGCTATTTGCAACTGTCAAATTGCCTTTTAATCTGCCCATTGAAATCAAAGTGAATCAAGTTGATTGCAGCATTTCACAGTTTAATAAAATTCTCACTCAGAAAACCAGAATCCAATCAAAGCCCATTAACCTCCCACTCCAATCCAAAATCAAATGAAAAGATTCTGCAAATGATTGAAAGTAATAATCATTTGGATCATGATTTTGATTGCAACCAATGATTATCATATTATTTAATGGAGCAAAAGTGGAAACCAAAAGTCCAATTAGATTAAAGGGTAAAAGCATGTTGGAGTTGACATGAAAGGTCCAATTGTCTTGAACAGTTGAATGGTGCAAAGGAAAAGAGTTAATCAAAGGCTGAAAAGAACCGAGAAGCAAAAAGTTCAAAATGATCATTTCAATTGTTTTTTTTTCTCTGAATCAATCCAAGAAAGAAATGAAAAGAGAAAATTTTTTTAATAAAAGTTGGTATTAAACAAAACAGTAAACTTTTTATATGCAAATCAATATCACTTCCCTTTAAAGACTAATTTCAATTCGACTGTGCAATGATGCTAAATAAATTCATATCAATTTAAATTTTCATCTCAAAATTCAACAAACAAGATTATCATTTACCATGAAAATGGATATTTTAATATAAAATTAGAATATAAAGGAAAAGAAAACAAGTTTCGAGTTAATATTTATTTTGAAGGATAAAGTCGGCTTTTTGTTGCAAATGACTTGGACTAATCTGATTTGGCTTTTGTAATAAATATACTTGTATTTACTTTGGTCATCTTTGGTCATTCATCATCATTTTCCTCAAACTTTTCTCTTCCTTTTCTGTTCTTCCTTTTGTCAAAGTTGAAGAAAAAAGCATTTCTCTTCATTTCATTGAAACCTTATTTATTTATTTATCTCTAGTTCAATATACACTTTTGCTTGTGTTCAACTCTTTTTTTCCTCTGTATTCTGATAACTTGCTGAGTAAACTTATATTTTTTTATATTTTCATTTGTTGTTAATGATGCCTGTTAATATGTATAATCTTGATATATGTGTTGGATATTTATTTTTCACTTTTAGATGTTCTTCTGGAAATAACTGTTCCAGTGAATGGAGCAGCTCAGATTCCCTGTAATGTTACCCTTTATGGTAAAGATGAGGTTCTTTTAATACTTTGGTATCAAAACGCAAATGCCACTGGGCCACCTTTGTATTCACTTGATTTCCGTGAATCACGTCCACAACATTTCCTTTCAACTCAATTCAAGAATCGAATGTCACTTGGGACAACATTTGAACCTCCTTATTTGCTCATTAATCCAGTCAATCCATCCGATGATGGATACTTTTCATGCCGTGCCGATTTTAAATGGTCAAGAACGAAAACTCAGACAATTAAATTGAACGTTATCGGTAAGTAAAACATGAAACAGCTCTTAAGCATTAGTCAACCTTGTGCCATTAGAAAAGTAATAATTTAATGTAACTTTTCAAGGCTTTTCATTGAATCGAAGTTTTTCATTTAGGAAAAAAAGACGACAGGTTACGGTTAAAATGCAAGCTTCTAGTCAATAAACGGACTTAATAAATTCGATTCTATTTGATGCAATTCTTCTTTCTATTACTCGTTTCGTTTTCAATCATCAGGCAAATTCAGACTTCTGGGTTATCTATTTTTAGTCTAAAACAATCTATTAAATATGGTCATAGTAGCCAAATATTCAAACTGCAAAGTCATTTCAAATGCTAGCTTTTAATCGGATTATCGTGAAATACTCAAAATCCAATCTTCATGTCACAATTTTGAGGGAATAAATCGCAAGCTCATAATCATTTGGACCAAAAAGCTAAATGGACTTTTGCTCAAAATTGCGACGTCTTAGATTTTATTGAACATTAAAGTTTGAGAAAATTTTCAATGTTGAAATTGCATTCCAAGTTAGTTATTTTCTTGAAATGCCCAAAAAGTCTGACCAAATAGCAGCTCATGAGCAACTTGCCTTTAACTTGAAACAACATAATTAGCATTTTAATGAAATTTTTCATTAAATGATAATTAACAAGTAAATTATTCATTGTTGACCTAAATAGAGTTAAGTACTTGGAGTTACAAAAAGGCTAAAAATCTTACACTTTCTTGAAAGGTTAGATATTTATCAATCATTTTGTTTTCCCAGTTTTGTTTCAATGTAATAAAGTCAATAGCAATGTGTCCAGTTATGAGATACATTTCACGATTCACTTGGACTTGGCTTTTCCAGTTAAACAAACGATTGAAATGCAAGGCCCAAAACGAGCAAGATATTAACTTTTATCAAAACCAATTCTCATCTAATCACAAGTTGATAAAGTTCAAGTTTCCAGGGCCAAAGTTTTTTCATGTTTAAAGTTGAAGCAAAAATAGCAGGCAGAGAGCAAATTTACAGGTTAAGAGAGAGAAAAGGTTGTAAGCAAATAAATATCCGACGAAAAAGAGAGAAAAAAAGAGAAAATGGTTCAACTTTTTATGATCAGAATTTTGATGATCAAGTTAACAATCAGTATCAAAATCATGAACTTTAACCAGAATTATGATGAACCCAAAAGAGTGAACAAAAAAGGTTTACAAAGATAAAGTAATATAATAACGATGAACATGAAGCCGAGGATAATCATTGAGAAAAGAAGAAAAAGAAAAAAACTGAAAACATAAAATAATACAACATTTGATTATCATTTTATGAGGCTATTAGTTTGATAATGTATCGTAAAGAATGTAATAATAACGTTATAATATTTCCCTTTGATAGGTAAAAGAGAGAATTTTTTTCTTCTTCTCAACTTTTTGTTTTCATTTGAAACATTTTATCATATTCAAGTTGCAATATTAAAAGGTTGATCACAAGAGTCGTTTTCACTGGTAAAATGTTCAATTGTGCTCAATTTGAAGCGAAAATGCTTAAAAGAGAATTAAATTGAAATCCAGATTTTCCCAGGAAATTGTTAATATTGAAATGCTAACAATTTAATAACTGAAGGAGTAAAATTTAAATGGGAAAACTGCAAGAAAAAAGCACTAAAAAACACTCCCTGCTGATGGTTAATCATGATATAATTCATGTTTCTCTATGAAATCGATTAGTTTTGTTTTTCCATTTCAAAGTTCCATTGTTCTCACAATCAACAAGTTTCATAATTGAAAAGGTTGATGAAACAATAAGCTAATTGTGATTGCTTTTGTTTTTCATTTCCATCTGATTATAGAGTCAAACTTATTCAGTGTAATTGTGAATTTCATTTCAATGATATTTTATATTTATATTGAGAAAAGAAATGAACTCGAATTTTTGTTTCAATGAAATAACAATCGATAGTTGATTCGAGTTTTAGTTTTTTTATTGAATTTCGGTTAAACTTTGAGTAAAGCGAAATGATTTGATCATTGATTTATTCAATTGAAATTACACCAAATGAACATGATATTTGGGTTTAGGGAAAACAAGGGAAACCAAATTACCATTAATGACTTTCTGTAAATTCAAATTGACACTCAAATTAGATTCAAGTTTTTTCCATGGAACCTGTTCAATAGCAAATCAAATTGTACGAATATAAGGAAAAATAAATAAATGCTGGAAAAGGTTAATTACTTTGTTCATTTGTTTCTTGTTAAACTTTTTCCTTGAAATGAATCGTTTTTGCCTTGAACCTTCAAAGTAACCAAATTGAAAATTTTACCCAAAACAGTGAAACACTTGAGACGAAGTGAAAGCAACTCTGAATGATGAGAGCGACAATAATAATGAAGATGATAATGAGACTGGAAATGCTAAGGTTTCCTCCTTGAGACACTCAGCATAATTGAATCAATCAGGTCAAGCTGCTAAGTTTATGGTGCGCTAAATTTAATTGATTTGCAATGTGATTAAACGTTTTTACTTTTGCATTTCATGCTTGTTCATCTTGATGCTCATCTTTATCCTTTTCTCATCTTCCTTTATCTTTTATCTTCCCTGGCTGATGATCACCTTCCTTTTTGGAAGGGAAGACAAAGGAAGAAGGAATTTATCTTTTACATTGATTGTTGTGAGTTGACAGGGTAAAACCGAAAACTTTCTTCTTCTTCTTCTTCTTGGTTTTGATCAGTAGTTGTGATCAATGTGATTGATTATGTATGATAATGATAATGATGAGGCCAAATGTGAAACTGAATAATGATAATAATAAAAGTTGAGCCAAGAATTAAGTGGACTGTTGTTGGTGGAAAAAGGATGAGGAATGAATCAAATTAAGGGGAGAAGAGGGAAGAAAAGAAAAGAGCCGGAACTGGTCAAAAGAGGTGTAAATGAAGATGATAAAGATGAGCATGAAAAATAGTGAATGAATTATCCCTTTAACAAGATGAAATATTGTATGGGAAAGGCAGACAAGGTTTGAAAGGCCATTGATCACTACATTTTAAGAGGTAAAAATGAAAAGATGGATAAAAGTAAAGGAACGTTATTACATCTGAAAATTTCAAGCCTTCCATTCCCTGGTTGATATTACATTATATAACCTCAAGGCATTCAATCATAATCATGATTGAAACCCGCAGATTCAAGCATCAACCTTTTTGATTTTTAAGGTTGAAACAAAGACAAGTGCAACAAATGCTCAAGGTAAAATGGGCTCAGCTTTTCCCAAAGGAAAACTTGTAATATCATTTCATGAACATTGACTTTGTTAGCTGAATCAGATACAATATCAGTTTCGATAAAAGGCAAGAATGAAAAGTAAATCGAGATAAATATACAGATTCTTTGAAATTCATGACTTTCAACATGAACATGCATTTGGAGCGGAAAATTGACAAAAATTTGAAAATCTCTAAAGGAAAAGAAACTAAATTAAACTAAAAATCGAGCAACGCTAATTTTGACACAAAACTAGAGCATAAATGCATTGAAATGAGAAGAAGATTGTAAACTCTAGTCAATAGAACTCGAAAGGACAAAACTTGACCAAAGTTTGAATATTAATATGAAAATTGATAAAACATGAACGGAAGCGGACAAAAGTGGAAACATTTTGCTGAGCAATCGCAAAAATTATTCATGTCAGACAAGACAAAAATAGATTCATCTTTTAATGTTGAATATTTAATAAAATGAGATTTACTCTTGATGTATCTAAATGTTTGTAACAATGACCGATGGAAGATTAGTTAAAGCCGTAAATTTGGAAGATTAGGAGTTTCAACTGTTCCGGATAAAAGTGGCCGGAATCACAGTTAAGTGACTTTCATCAAGCAAAATAAATCATTCCTTTTTAACCATGCTAATGGAATCTCTTATAACTCCATGATATAAACTGATTGAAAAAAGTATAAAACACTTAATTTTATGCATAAATCTTAAGATATTTACATTTTGTAAGTTATTATAATAGATTCGGAATGAACGTAAAAAGTTGTGATAGCTTAGTTGAAGAAATGGATAAAATAATTATGGAATTATCAAAATCGAAAATCAAAATTTAAGTGTTCTTATACTTTTGTCAACCAGTTTACTTTTATTCAGCCATGATCGTACACATATCATGTACTCATCATCATCATCATGTTTAGTCAATAGATTCAATTGAATTCTTGAATCGATGAAAGTGAAGTCGAAATTTTCATTCTTATTCAACTTTCACCTTCAACTAGCAAACATAATGGTAACCAATATAAATACCAATACAATATTAATCTTTGCGTAAAATTTTCACTCCAATTTCGACATTTCATCGTTTCATCTCAAAAAAAGAAGAGAAAATTTTATCATCAAAATCAAATTCTAGTTTGTTTTCAATCCCTTCCAATGGTCTTATGTCGTCTATTAGTTTTTGTTTTGTTTCTTCCTCTTCTCTTCATAAGGTTAAATCTAAATATAACATTCAGCTTAATCGTATTCAGATAATCCAATAAAGTTGATTCAGTTTGTGTCCAAATGTTCAAATTAATTGCTGGTTACAGAACCGATGAGCAAAACCCAAAAGAACCAGACAATAATATTAATATAATGAAAGTTATTTTTCAGAGTATTTACTTATTGTTAGTAATAATACCAATAATGGTAATAATACTAATAATAATAAATGATCCATTACAATTTAAGGTTCAATTTCGTTGATTATAACAAGATTTTCATGATTAACGGAAAAGGTTAAGAAAGTTATAAGAGAACGGAGAAGATGATCAAGTTGAAGAAGAAGAAGAGAGAGAAAAAATGATGACAAAGAAATGGTTTTAATGAAGATGAACTAAAGATTTGTGGGTGAAAATGTAATTTGGTCAACTTGAATAAAGACTTTTGGATGGAAGAAGAAGAAAGTTGCTTCAATCTGAATCTTTTCTTCGTCTTCATCTTCCTTCTTCTTACCATCTTTCAACTTGCCTCTTATACAATATTGGCCAAGATTAATTGACGGATGAGGCGAGCTGCTATCCTTTTAACCAACTTGCCTCTTCTTTTCCTTCAAACATAACATTCACATTGTCTGGTTACTATTCAATTTACCTTAATCTTTTCTCTCTTCTCTCCACTTGCAGTTCCCCCAAAGGGTATGTTCATTCGAGATCGATGGGATCAACCTGTATATGCTATTGCTGGACCTTATCCACAAGATTCATCCATGCAATTGACTTGTATAGCCGAAAATGGTAAGCTCGCATTATTATCTTCATATCTTCTTGTCAGTGATCGACTCAAATTCAGTCCCAACCTCATTCAATTTGGACACTTTATGCTTGCTTTTTACCCTGACAATCAAAAAATAAAGAAAAGACAAGAATTCACTCCTTAGGTGAATTGTTAATCGTTTATTTGCATACTCGGGACGATCATAATTCATCTGTATAACCAAGAATAGTTTGAGAATATTCAATCGAAGTCAAATGAAAATGCAAAGATGTTTGCATTAAGAAAATTCCCTGCAAATGATTAGTTACTTGCAAAGAGCAAAATTACTTGCAAATTGTCTACTTTATTTACTTTGAGATTTAGGATATCAAAGGGTTAAGTTTGGACAAAGTCGTCAATGAATTTGTTCAATCGAGCGAAATTTATTTACAAGATTAGAGTTTTGACGTCAAATGATTGCAACTGTCCAACTGACCAACTGAAAGATTGAATGCTTAAATATAACAACCAAAAGTACAATATCTTATCCTTTCAATTGCTTTGAAGGTTTAGTTTTGATGATAATTCAAACGAAATCTGATCACTGAATTTTCTCAAAATTATTGCCTTTGATCGATTACTTTGAAAGTTTTATATTTTTCATTGACATTCATTCATCAAATAATTCGGTCAAATTGCAATGTCATTTATAAAGCATTTTGAACAGTAAAAACTTTACTAGAATTTTAAACCTGAAAATATCAAACTCACAATTAGATTAACTTGAGAATCTCGGCCTCAACTTCATTCTCTCTCTGAAAGCTAATCTGTTGAACTGAGAACAATTGAATTGGTTAAAGATCAATCTCTGGTCAACGAGATTAACCAACATTTGACAACAATGGCCATTATAAATTTGACAGCAATCAAAGTTGAGCAATTCATAATGGAATCAATTAACCTTACGATTAATGTTTGAAAGCAACAAAAGGCCATTTCATTGCAATACAAATTAATGCGAAAACAAATTGTGAAAAAGTCAACATATAAATATTTAACTCGATTATTTCTTAACCAAAGCTTTGCTTCGTGCTTCAATGGTCAACTCTTTGCTAATTATGATTACCATTGATGATGCTTAATCTGACCGTGAATCATGTTGAATCATTTACCAGTTGGAACATCATCTTAAACGGTGATAATAATAATAATAATGATGATGAAGATAAACAAGCGCATAAACACACACAAAAGCCCAGATAGACCAATAACAATATCGAGTGGAAAGAAAAGAGTAATTTAGTTGGCGAAAGTAACAAAAGCTATTGGATTAATTGCGATAATATATCTTTGTACATGAATTTAATCCGATTTATGTGTTTTGTTGATTGACTTTATCCTGTTTCCTGACAACACATTGACCCAATTCAGGGAACGAAACAAGAAGAAGAAGAAGAAGAGATTAGACGATTAGCTGAACAATGGTGAAACAGCAACATTAAAAAACAGCAAAAAACTAAACAAACAGTAATTTCCATCTCAACTAATTAATAACGAAAAAATTGACTCTCATTAATCATTGTAATCACTTTTGGTTAACACCTTTAAAATGCATCAAAAACAATCGAGAAACTCGAGAGTGACTCAAATCCACCAAACTCGAACCTTGATCAACTTGAAAAGTACAATAAACTTTGTCAATCGAAAAGAAGCAAAAAATGATTGAAAAGTGCAAAATGAGTTCGAATAACTGTCAAGGAATTGAACAATTTTGCCGTCAACTTGCAACAATTTCATTTCGACTTTGAATTCTTGCAATTTCTTGTTGAACAATTTCATCAACTGATGATTGTGTTTACTCGTATTTTGCATTTTATTCATGATAGATTCAAGTTGTTCTCTCAATTTGGAAACAATTTATCCAACAGCATTCTAGAAAATGAACATTCTCAACTCTACATTCTTCAATTGCAACAATTTTCACCCTGCAAGTTACACTTCACTTTTCCATCCTCTAACATGATGATCATCATGAAACAACATTTTGCTTCCTTCAACATTCTTTATCCTCATTTTGTCTCTACTTGTTTATTATCATTGTTACTGTGAACCAATTGATTCATTGATTTCAGATGAATAACCTCATGTTCTTGATCTTGCTACATTTTCATCTTTTCTCTCTATCCTCATCATCATCATCATGGTCATGATCGTTTCTTCTTTTTTTCAAATAATCAAACCTCAATGACAAACTCTGCCTCATATCTTAATACACTTGGCTTTGTTGTTTATTGGTCCAGAAAAGTTAAAATCAATTGACCTTAACCACCATTTCATTCCCTTATTTCTTTCAATTCATTCATTTTTCATCATCTTTTCTTCATCTTTTCATCCAATTTTCATCTTCAACTCCAAAAGTTGCAATCATTAGAAAGAAACTTTTATGTCCAAAAAGTAATCAACTTTCAAACAGAAATGCATTTTTCATCGAAAATTCCAATTACTTCAATTATCTCTGTTGATTCAAGGTAAAGTTAATTGATTAATTGAAAGCAATTTGTGTTTAATTTGCTATTTATTGTTATTCACTGAATCAATTTGTTTATGATAAATTCAATTGTTACTCAATTGGAATTGGATTAACATCTAATTATTAGATTTACACTGATTTTGGTCGACAATTAAGTTGAACCAAGAAAGGCTAGCAAATGGTAAAAGATTTCATTTCTGGAAGAGAAAAGTTTTATTCAGAATTTAGGGAAACTCATTTCAACTCCCTGCTTTATCTTGACCATCAAAGTGATTTACTCAAAGAGTTTTGTTCAAGACATTTAAACATGACTTGAGAAACCATTTAGGCTTTAAGTTGCTATAATTGTTCAAGAGTTGAAACAAAAAAAAGTTTCATGAAAATTTTGGTAAAGAGAGAAAAAAGACAAATAAAGAAAATGAGGAAAAAGGATTCTTTTTCCATGAACTCCATTAGAATAAATGTTTACAATGGAATATAATATTTCATCTTGTCAAATGTTATATAACATGGTAAAGGTAAAGTTAACACAAGATAAGCTCATTAATACCATTATTACTTATATCCATGATGACATGAAAATCCTGTTTAGACTAACATTTTAAATGTTATATTATCAACATCATCATTGAAAGATTTATCTCATTTCATTCCCTGTTGAACACTTTATCAACTTGAATCAATATCACTTTTGTCAAGTTTATCACAAGGTGAGCCAAGATGGACTATCAATATTAATAACGAAAAGAAAATCTTTTAACTATTTTAATCGATAAAATGTTGCTTTTGCTAATTTTCACTTAAGTTGAGATTCAATATTTTGCTTGAAAAATGAATAAAATCAATCATAAACTAATGTGATCAGATAGATTGGTGTTAAAGATTGAACTTTCTTCTTGTTGTTGCTTGAAAATAAGCTTTGAGTTAAATCGTCTTTTTATCTTGTTTACTTTCCTTATCAATTTATTATTGTCGACTGTTAAGGAATGAAAAATAACGGTTGAAAAATAAAATAACCACAGTCTGGATGGATAAAGACTGGGAGGTAAAGGAAGGGAATGGGAAACGAGAAAAGGCTGAACAAGATGGAAAGAAAGATGTTTCAATCTTTATATATTGTTGTTGTCTGTTTCAAGCAGGCACGTTCATTTATCTTTCGATAAAACATTAAACTTATTGATTGATTGACTTTTGGGTTGAAAAAATTTAAGAGCTTTTGTTTTCTTCAAATGGTTGTAAAGAGTTAAGAATAATGATTCAAATTTTAGATGTAAAATTGAATAAAAGAAGAATCGTCCAATTTTCAGACAAAAGCAAAAATGCAAAAGAACCTTATTTTAAGACGATCGAGAAAAATTTTGCGCAAATTCTCGGAAGAAGTAGCTAGCCGTTCTGGATACAAGATCAAAGAATTACGAGTTTATTTTCTGTCGAATAACAAATTTTCTTGAAAAAAATCCTTATTTCGTATTCTCTTAGTTTTGCTTTTGTAAAGTTTTTTCTTGATTTTAGCATTTTAATTGAGTCTGTTGTTTGGTGAATGAATGGTTCCTCATTGGTTTTTGCGTTTAATTGAAATGAATTTGATGGTTTCTCTGAGGAAGCTCTTTGTCTGATTGTTATTTACATCGATTAGCTGACGATGAAGAGGAAAAAGGATAGAGATGAAAAAGTCTTTTGTGGATAAGTGTGGGTTTCAACAGAAAATGAGGCAAAAATTTGTTCGTAACAGATGATTAAGGAAAAGTCTATTCGCTGAGTTTACCTTGTCCATTCAATTATCATACGACATTTCTAAATGTATTGATATGATTGGTTTCACAATTTGTTTGCAAGAAACATTCATGTTCAATTATCATCAAAGAGCATAATTTGTTTGTTTCCCAATCGGAACATATCAAAATGTCTTGTCAACTACGAGACAAATGACAACCTTTACACCCACTAAACCTCATCACTCTGCATCAGTCAACTGCACTAGAAGAGGGTCAAAGTCAAGTCTTTGAAGACTTCCCAGTTGAATTTCAATGTATTACTCAATAGCAAAATTTAAACATAAACGGAAATCGTTAATGAAATGAAGAAAATTTTGACGCTTAATTCATCACGAATTACATTAAAAGGTAAAACAATTCAGTAATTGCCAATAAAATTGCAAAAATATTATCCTTTGTTCAACATTTCGGCTAATTTCCTACCCAATCTGATTCAGCGAAAAGTCAAGAATAAATCAACAGATTTTTGCCTGGCACTCTATTGCTCTCTTGATTATCTAGATACTATCATTTACATCTTCATTTTCTTTTTATTCTTGACATTCGTTCCAAAACTTTTGTAAAATCTTTTCTCAGAGAAAATAAACTATCCCAACATCGTAAAGTTATTCAAAGCCATGATCCACAAGATGTTTCAGGCAAGAGGAAATATATTTTTCAGTATCTTTTTAATGTCGTTCTGTACGAACTGAAATGCAGAGAACAGTCGTTTGAAAAATTTACAGCGAAATATCGATAACGATCTTTTCTCATAAGATTTGAAATACTGATTGCAAAGATTTATTGGCTTTGTCTCGCAATGGTTGATGACCTTGAGACGGTTAGTAAGTCTACGATTGAAACCAACTAAGCGCAGGTTCGTCGGGGGGAATTATAACTCAGGAGTTTGATTTTTTTGTAGATTTAACGGACTCTTTTTATATCGAATCGTCACGTTTTAACTAAAAAAGGATGGAATGAAGAATGAAAAGCATGCAAAAATTTGCATTTAAACTATCATTGATAGTTGAAAATTCAATTCCATGCTCGTGAGAATTCTAATGAATGTCGAGAAAAAGTTGGTCTCTTTTGTTGATAATTCATTAGCAGACGAGACATTGAATAAATGTTGACAAAATTTTATTCTTAGCAATTGATTACACAGTCAAATTCGAATAGCAAAAAATATAACGAAAAGTTCAACACAACCACAACGAAAGCATATGAAAATAAGAAAACGTTAGTACTTGAATCTGATAGACTTGAGTAACATAAAAAATCATGTGAAAAATTGTTCCATCAAAGTAAATCAAGTTTTCTGAGTTGATTTACCTAACTTAGCAGTCAATGAAACTTATCAGAAAAATTTTACTCAATACTTGCAGTTCTAACTTGGTAAACTTGATCAACTCTGATTTCCCACGAGGCGAATGGACAGCAAAAAGAAGTGTCCAAATTGAACAGTTTACTGATCAATTGGTTAATCACATTTAATTCTTGAACATGATTCATCTTTTCATTCCAGGTAAACCTCCACCCAAAATATTGTGGTATTTAAATGATACTCTTGTCGATGAGAGCTTTGAAATTACGGACTCATCTTCCTCATCCTTATCATCAAATGTAACCTCAACTCTTTTTGTTACCAATCGTTTATCAATCGATAAACTGGATCGTTCATATTATCAATCCGTCCTAACCTGTCAAGCCATAAACAATTATCACCCATCAGTCCCAGTATCAACCTCCATACGTCTGGATATGTACCGTAAGTGTTTTCCATTATGATAATAATGAGTGAACCAGAATAAGAAAAAGAGAAACTTTTTACTCTTTCAATCACATTTACAACGAAAATCAACTTATCTGTTGCTCTACATTTGAAATGATTTCCTTCTCCATTTCATATTTAATCATGTTTAATGAACCCTTTTACTCCTCTCTTGCACTCCACTTCCCAGTCAAAACTCCCAGCTTGGAATACATATTCAGTGTTATTTGTAAATTTTCATTTTTGCCTCTTTTTCCATTCTTTTACTTCTCACAATTTGTCAACTTTTTCCCTCTTTATTTCACTATTCAATGTCGACACTTTATTAGTTCACATTTTACTTGACTTGTGTATTCATTTAATATTTATTGATGTTTTTTCATTCAACTATTGCTTTTATCAAATAGACTTTTTTGACTCTTTTTATAATAATAATAATCTTTACTCATTCCAATTGGCACAAAGAAATGTCACATTCAAACAAATGATAATGCACCATTTTCCTTCCAGTAAATATGGAATAGTGAAAAGTGAATCAATCGCAAGAGTAAATACTATCATTATCATACATTATAATAATATCGTTATCATTATTAAAGACGCAACAACAACAAGAAAAAGTTGACACATAATTTTATTAACAGAAGTATCTTGAGAATTGAAATGTTTAATGTAAAATCGATATTCAATATTACTGGGAGTGGAAACTCCCAGTGGCTGCGACTAGATAATGTTGGCTTGATAAATGTTTCAATTGAAAATTGATCTCACTTTGATTTCTTTTTCCATCTTCGTTCCTGCTTCTATCCCAGTAGTCGCAAATTTAATTTTGAATGATTCAAACACATCGATGCTCATCTTGATACGATAAACGTTTAGTAAAGATTGTAACTTATTTGCATGACTCTATGAGTTTAATATTACGAATTAATTACGAGTTATCATAAACATGAACATAAAATTCCAAAAATGCCCGCGTAAAAATGAGGAAATGTAAAGAAAATGCTTTCAACACTTTCAAAGCCAAAATGTGGGCAATTAATTAGCCAAAAGAGTTCATTGAAGACTCATAAAACTATTGACTATCCATTAAAATATTTACTCTTTGCTTGTTTCACCTTGTTTGCATGCCATCATTTGATACCTCTAACATTAATACAATGTGACAAGTTTAATGTGATATTTAATAAGATTACCAAGGCAAAAATGTGTTTACAGTTTGACTGTTGCTTACATCAATATTAACGAAGCTTGAAGAAACCTTAATACAAACACTGAATCAACCTGCATTGTCATCCCATGTTTGTCCTACAAAAACAGCTCATGTTCAACATTGAGCTTTGACAACACATTTTCACTCTTTTCCAACCTTTCATGTTTATCCATTCAACCTTTCAAGGTAAATCTTGATCAACATTGAAACACTGTAAACACTGACACGATGACAATGATTAACATTTTTATTGACACATTTTTAAATAATAATGGCTAATTTATTCATTTTCATTTTCAATTCTTTTCAAGTAAATCTTTTTTTCCCTTTTATCCAACTTTACATCACTTTAAAGTAGCAACACAGAACACTTTTTTTACCAAAGCTGTTGTTGAATCTGTTAATTTGAATATGCAATTTGAAAAGTAAAAGCTGATTCAAATCGAAGGTTGAAACAAAAAATTCAACTCTAACAATTTAAATAGTGTACATTTGCTCAACGAAAAGAACGGCATTTTTCCCCAAAAAAATGTAATGAAAATAGATTAATGGAAATGAAATTTTCTGAAAAGACAAAAGTTCTTTTAAATTCATAATTCAAAATGATGCAGTGAAATTAAGTTCTGCAACACTTTTATGTGAATGGCAAAGTACACTGAAATTGGTAGAGATATTTAAAGAGTAAAGAGTAAAATGGAAACATTGAATGAACGAACAAATGAATTTTTAAAAGTAAAATTTGTAGCACTAAAGAGCATGATAAATATGGATGATCTTGAAAGTGTGTAAGAGAAGCAGAGAAAAAGAAAGAAAAGAGGAAAAAATTTTGTTAAGAAGATTTGTGGTCAAGATTATTCTTGAAATCCCTTGGAAGCTCGCAACGAAATGTGAAATGTAAACGAAAATGAAAAAATGAAAATTGAAAGTTGAAACATGATTGGAAGTGAAAAGATCAGGTAAGAAGAAAATTGAATTCAAGGTTTTCAGATAAAAGGCTAAATTTTGATCCTGGCTTCTGATCATCATCAAAATCTTAAATGAAAGCAGAGTCGAACAGAGCAAGAAAAGAAAAATGGAGAAAAAATTTTTCCTTTTCCATTCTTATTTCACATTTTCTCAGAATAATATCAATTGATTGTGATTCAATTTCATTGGACTGAATAATAATGATGAAGCTGAGAATGATAATTGAAGAGGTCAAACTCTTCTCAAGGTGAAAAGAGAAAAAAAAAGTTGACCAGCATTCCTTCACCATTCGATATTCAATGAATTTTGATGTCGAGACATTTTCCAATATCAGCGAGTTTCTTTTTGGTCAACAATTTTCTACTTTCAGATTCTTCTAATTATTTGTTCAGATTAATTAATTCATTGTTCTGTTGATAATCAAATTATACCTTTAATTATCAATTTGGTCAACCATCATGTTGAACCTTTATCGCATTACGATTAGTGGACAAAACTATTTTTCCTCTTTTGAAGCGAAAATTTTATTCCCACTTTTTATATTAAAATTTATTCAAGTGAGAAAATGTTTTGCAACCAAAATTCATTATCAATCAAACCTGCAATCAATGAGATTTTCATAAAGAGAATATTTTTCTCACGGAATTTCAAGCTTAATCACAGAATGAACTTTTGGCTTGAATCATTGCAAGATGATAATTTGATTGTAATAAACACTTGACTGACTGTTGATAATCAAAACAGTTATTCAACAGTTTTTTTCCTCTTTGGGTCAACATTAATTGATTCAAATGCTCTTTACACTTGTCAAATTAATGCTATCATTGTTACTCTATTTGAGTTGAAAGGGTAAAACAAGTGAAACCATAAAATAATGATTTTCATCATTAATATCATTATTATTATTATTAATGTTGTTATTATTGTACCTTTTGTCTTATCAATTTTGTTAACATTAATATATTAATACAAAAAGGTTGCAATAATAATCGAGTAAAATGGCAACAATCAATAATCATTTTTCCGAATTGCACTTTTCGTTTCTCTTTACACTTTGTTGGTTCACTCATTCAATATCTAACCTTTACAAACTCATTATTGCCTTTCACCTCTTTTAACAACGTTACAACCCAATTAATTATTTGTATTTCTGCTCATTATTAATAATTAGTGAAACCTCTTGATGTGATAATAACTCCGGTTAAAGAGCCACTCATTGCTGGTAAAAAGGTTGAAATTGTCTGTTCAACTTATGGTTCCAAGCCTCCAGCCAAAGTCAACTGGCTTTTACGAAGCAGGGAACTGAAAAGAACAAGGTAAGAACTAATTCAATACAATTCATCATAGGAGTGACAAATGAATCACCCTTTCAACACTATGGTTCTACCTCAAGTTTCATTAGATTAAACTTTCTTGTCACAATGTTGAAACAAACCCCAATGAGTCTGTTGGTTTGTTGGACTGTGACTCACAGTGAAGGTAGTGAGTTTGGCTAGTAATGTGCGATGACTAAAAAATCGATTATCAACGATTAGTCAAAAATCTGTAAACATCAATAATAACCGATTATTTAATGTACTGGGCGTTTTTTATTTTTTCCAACTGTTTTTGTTCGTAACTCTAAAAAAGTTGCTGCTACAGACCTCAGATTCGAACCATGAGCAGATTGAAGAACTTTAAGTTCGAAAGCTCAGGTCAGCATAAATCAAATGTAATAATGAAGACAAGGCAAAACCGATTTAATAGGCGAATTGCTGAATCTTTATTCTGTCGACTGTATTCAAGTTTATTTTTTCTGATAGGATGAGCTGTTGCAATTAATGTCATTGCACAAAAATCATGAACAGTGAGATGAAGTCCACTTTCGAATTTGTAAATTCATTTCATTTGCAAAACTTTGAAACAGAAACATGAACTTTTATTACACAAGAGCATTCATTGGATGCATCTAATAAAACAAATAGAAATCCTCATAGAAAAGCATGCAAAATTTTAAAAGGCGATAAAATGCCGAAATCGAAAAGGTGGCAGCTAATTCCGTTAAATTGGTCTTTGAGAAGGCCAAATACATTAATGCATGATGTGACTTGCCTTGATTATATTGAATAATCGATTATGATCGATGTTTTATGAAATAATCATAATCTATCAACCATCGATTCAAAATATCGACTTTCGATACCATCGCACATCACTAACAACGTAAGCTCAACGTTGAGACAGATTGTTCAAGCCTGAAAAATCATTAACAATCATGTACAAAGTTTAACCCAATAAGTTGGAGTAAAAATGACGATTAAATGGATAAAGTTTGACTTGAAATTTGGAGCAGCATACAGTTGAAAGGTTGAATGAAAAAAAAGGTTAGAACCATTTGTTATGGGCACTCATTAAATATCAATAACGTGAATGACCATTGGTCAAAAAAGAAGAAAAGTTGGAAAATAAAAGTAATAAAGTCAACAACCTTTTATTAATAATATTAATAATGATAATCAATATGGTATCAATATTACCACAAACAAAATGATCACCTTGTTCCCTTACTGGCCATTCATTAGCCACCACCAAAACTAATGGTCATTCCTGGTCATCATGACCACCATGAATTGATCCAACATTTTCTTGACCAGCTTCATCTAAATTTTTACTTTTACTTTTACATTCACCTCAACATCACCATCATCATCACCATTCTTTACTCTTCATGACTCTTTTTAACTTTTATCATTCCACATCATCATCATCTTCTTCTTTTCATTCATTCTCAATTCTTTCATTTCTCAGGCTGATTCACTCCCCTGATGGTAACTCGTCAACAAGTACACTCATCTTCACTCCATCGGCTGATGATGATGGATCCATTCTGATATGTCAAGCACAGAATCCAAATATAAAGAATCATTTTATGGAAGACAAATTGCCTTTAAAAGTGCTTTGTGAGTTTTTTTTACTTTTATTTATTATTATTATATTAACATCAAAAACCTTTCCTTTCTTTTTTCATCTTCTTACTCTTCTCATTGAACTGTATTTAGAGAAACTCAATTTCGCCTTTCTTCATGTTTCATCTTATTGTGTACTTTTATTTAGTCTCAACTTTTGCTTGCTCTTTTGTTGAAACTCATGAGGATAGAAAGAAAAGAAATGAAATGAAAGAGAAAGACGAAAATCTCTATTCTAAATGTTTGGACTCATCATTATGATATTTTGATTTGTGATATAACAAGTTATCAGTTTATTAACTAGAAATGAAAAGTTGAGATGAAGCAAGTGAACAATACAAAGGACAAAAAAAGACGGAAAAGGCAACTTGTTACACTGCTAATTGTCCATTTTACACAAGTACATCAGAATCAATTGTTAGCTTCACTTTCATTTCAATCTATCTGTTGGAAAAAACGAACAGAAAAGTAAACTCGAAAATATACTTTTCATTCAAATCCAGTGAACAGATTTCTGCAGTTCAAATGAGTCTACATGAAATCTGAAAGTCTTCAAGATATCTTGTTTCAATAAGTCGAATGGTTCATTGAAAACTTATCTTGTAATCTTCAGACAGAACAGACATAAACAGAATAAAAATGAAGAATAATTTTATAAACTTTTTAAAACTTATAATAACTTATATTATTCAACGAAAGTTTAAACTCTTTGAAATATCGAAAAAACTCAAAAGTCGAAAATTAAAAAATCGAAAAATCCATAATTCGATTAGCATAGTTTAGTTGTAAAAAGTTTGAAGAATGAAATAAAGCGAAAAAATTTGTTGTTTGGCCAAATCTTTCACCTTGAACTAGCTTCCCTGTAAATTGGCTCATTTTCCAGTCATGTGAACTCACCATGCTAATGATGATTATGAGAGAAACTGACTTGACTCAGCTTTCACTTTTAAAGCTACAAATTTATCAACTTGTCAGACGAGCCAGTAGCAATCAGACAGTATCAAATGCATTACATTACCTGAAATAGTAATAATAATGGCTCAACTCCCAGCAGAATAAGATTAAAAGTAATAAATTTCATTACATTTCACTTTGCCCAATAATGAATAACTTTTCCATTCACCTGATGATAATGATGAAACTTGTTTTCCGACTCTCAACTTACAATAATTTTTCACCTCAACAACATGCATTGGCTAACCTTTCTGCACATCATTATCATTATTCTTGTTATTGGCGATTCCATGTTTTTATATAACAATAATGATTACAATAAGTTGATGCTTATCATATGATAAATTTTTTCAACTTCCATCGAGCATTTGTGAAAGGAAATAACCTGGAATAAAGAAGAAAGAAAAAAGTAGGAAAAAAAGTTGCATCTATAGTCGAAAGAATGTTATTATTCTCAACATTTTACTGATAAAAATCGGTATTAAATTTGATGAATACGCATCATGATGATAATGATTAAAGATTGTTGTGAAAAAATGTTCGAATAGGCTTGAACGGAAATAGTTTACAAGAAAATGACCAGCAAAGAGAAATGCGATCAAAAAGAATCGAGCAAATGAACCAATTAGACTTTTCGTTTAGCTTTTGATTTTTTGTTGATAAAAGAGAAACTTGAAAGAGACGAAAAAGTTGAGCAAAATATTGGACAAGAGATGAAAATTGTGACAAAAGTTGCTGTTCAATAAACGACTTTTTATTTACTCTTATATTAATAGACCATGAGATACTTTGAGGATACAATTTTCTGAGTCTACTTTTAGCATCATCATCATTGTCACCTTTATCAATCTGGTTTCAAGTTAAATGAACTTTTTACATGTTCAATCAATTGTATTTCATTGTCGGTGGAAAATGAAATTGACTTTAAAATTGTCATTTTGCTGTTCATCTTTTCATCTTTTATCTGACAAAAGAAAAGACAAAAATCTAGAGAACGATAAAAGAAAATGAAACGCCATGAAAAAAAGTGAGAGGACAAGAAAAAGTTATAACTAATTTACTCTCTACTTTTCAACACTCTGTTGGTCAGCAAAGAATTGCTCATTATTTACTTCGATTGGAAATGTTTAGAAATTGTTCACAATTTTCTTTCTCAAGATTGTTACAAAAGTAAAATAAAAATGAAGTGAAATGAAAACATCAATATTTGAAAAGTCAATTTTTGTTTCACTTGTTTCTCTGACATTTCGTGAATGTGGCAAAATCTTTGTCCAATAAATCAACGATTACATTAATTGGTTTATTAATGATTCAAAACAAATTACCCAACTTGATAGACTTAATAAATGTTGATAGGACGACGAATTCATTAAGATAAACAAAGAAAAATTACTATTAATGAGTTACAGAATAGATAAATATTTGCTTTAGATACGGATTTTTCATTGAGATTCAGTTGGGAGTGTGGCCTGGAGTTCTGTCTGGGAGTTTCGTTGGGAGTTACATCTGAGGGTTCAGTTGCAAGCTTGGCTAGGAGTTGAGATTCTAGTTACAGCTGCTTTAATTGGAGTTTTGTTGAGCGTGGGAGTGAAATCTGACTGTTCGAACTGGGAGTTCAGTTTTTCGGAAAAAAATTTGCATATCCAGATGAAGCTTCCACTTTGAGTTGAGCTGGCAGTTCTGCTCGGGGACTCGTTTGGAGTTAAATCGATCTAGCTGGGAGTTGCGTTAGGTGTAATCTAGAAGTTTAGATTTGAGTTTGATGCAGTTTAGTTGGGAGTGAAGACTAGGAGTTTAGCTGGGATTACAAACCAAAGTCTGGTATATAATCATCTGGGAGTAGAGCTTGGAATTTTGTTGATAGTATGAACCTGGAGTTATTCAGAAATATAATGGGAGTTCACCTGGAATTGAATTAAGTTTTTATTTGGAGTATCAACTGGGAGTGAAAATTGCAAAACTTTATTCATTCTTGTACAACAATAATCAACGGCAAACTATGATAACAGTAATGATGTTTATAATAGTTATTAAGAGTACAAATAAGTACAGCTTGAGGCTGTAAATGTGATTGAGAAGCTTCAACATCATTATAATCATTATCATTAGCATTTTCTTTGAATGCTTGTTTCCAGAAACACACTAAAGTTCTTGAAAAATGATGCAAATAAGGGAAACTTGACAAGGTAGCAAAGAGTAAATAAATGATGCCAATGGTAAAAAGAATGAAATGATTCGACTTAATATTTTTTTCCCTCTCAATCTCAATTTCACACTTGATTCCATCTTTTTTTTCTTATGAATCTCACCAATCATTTTATCATGAGCAGCAAAATGTTTTTATATTTGCATTGCTAATTTCAAATCGTTCACTGCAACAATAAGAATGCTTCTCATAATATTTATTTAAGTATTTAATAACATTAAATATCTTTTATTAAAATTATTATTTCAATCTTTTCTTACGATATTTCATTCCATTTCTCTCTCTCCCTTAAAGTTTATACCAAATTTTCCATATTCATCATTGTTTGGTTCATCATAATTCAGAAGTTTTTCATCATTATTCCCTGCAAAAATTGTATCAAATTTTACTCTTTGTTATTCCAATCAAATGTTTGTTTTTTATTTTAGATACTTTTCATGCTTCTATAACATGTTCTAAGTGTAGTACAATAGTCTTATAACACTTAAATGCGTACAGATTCACCACTAATAATGAGTTTTTAATTTGTTTTCACTATCGACTATTTTTCCTCATGAATGAGTGAAACTATATTAAATTTCTCATCAAATAATGGCAAGAAAATTAATGAAAAATATGTCACTCCAAGTAAAAGATCAACTTATTGATTTCCTTGTCATTAATAAGTTGTTTGATAAACCAATCGAAACATTGGTAAACATTGGAGTACACATTACACAACAAACGTAATCAATCCCTGTCAATCCCTGTCACTCCCTATAAATTCTCATTGTTTTACGAAAAATCAATTTAAATATTTTGCAGTAGTTTTTGAGTTTGAATTTGAGCAAAGATTTTGAATCGAAGAGAGAATTTTTGGATTTCGAAAACAAACACTTAATCCGTTTCGAGTTATAATCGTAATTTGTAAGAGTCGATTCGAGTCGATTGCGATCTAATTTTGCATTGTTTCTAATATCTGGAGCTAATTGAAGTCAAGCTAGATTGAGAACAGTGAAAGTAATTTCTTAGTTGAAGGAAGGCTGAAAGATGGTGTTAATGATGAAAAACGTAGTTTCAATTGGACTGGGAATATCAAAATGAAAGGAAATGAATAAAATAAATATTGAAACAAATAAAGGTCAAGGATAAGGGAATTGTTGACACTTGGAAGTGAAATAAGTTGTAACTAGATTTGTTGATTTGAGTTGAACCTTCTTTTTTTCACACAATCATTAACTTGTTCAATTGTGACCATTAAACAAAAGAGAAAAAGAAAAGAAGCGAAAAAAAACCAATTTCATGTTTTCACGTCTAAATCAACAATAGCCGAGCACATACACCAAACTTGCTAAACCTTTTGTTAGTTGTTCTCATTGAACATCAATTATTGATGCAATTCATTTCAATTTACTGTTCAATATCATTTGGTTCAACGTATCAACTGAGCCAACCCAAACAAAATGAATTTGTATTCCTTATTACATCAACAGTTTCATTTAAATTGTAAACCAAAAGCTCAGGTAAACAAGTCAACACAAAGGGCCAGCAAATAGGAGAAAAAGAAAGCAAAAAGTAAAAACAAAATTCTCAGGTCATTTGAATGATTCAATGAGAATAATAAAGATAAAAGGAAAAGAGATAAAAAAGTAATTCTTTCAATAATAACAGTTGATTGCGAGCTTGTATTGTTTCATTACATTATTCAGTAATCTCTTTATTCTTACTCCTAAACTGTCACCAAAAACCACTTGATATCATCTCATATCCAGTGGTCAACAAAGCACAAAACTTATTGATAATCTCAACATTCCCTGAGCTATCAACCTTCTAATAACAACGACAACAATAATGATAATAATCATGTTGATAATACACAAAATGTAATATCTCTGAGGAGTTGAAAGGTTTGAAAAGAGAAGGACCTAAAAGTAGAAGAAAACGAAACAAAACTTTTTTCCTCGGTAAACATCAAATCTAATAGCAACTTTTATCATGTCAATGATGATGGAGATAACGAGTGTAACAGCAAAGACTAAATTACATCTTTTCCTATTTAGATAACCTTTGACTTGACCTGTTCGAGTTTTGTTTCAACTTTGCAAGTCTTAATTGAACAAAATGGTTAACTTTGTTTTTCGACTCAATTTTCTCTCTGTTCAATCAATTGCAATGAATTTCATTGCAATTATTCATTTAACGATAATGATGATGAGTTGAACGTGATTTATTTTTAAACATTAATTAATCAATTATACTTGAAATTCAACTCTAATGTTTGGAAAGTGAATATTAATTTCTTTGGTCTAACTTTTTTTTTGACTAAACTCTTTGCTTTTGCTTTTGCTTTTGATGAATTTAATGAGCGAACAAATGTTTAAATATTAATTATTGTTACATTATTTTGCTCTTTTTATTATTTTATTTTGCTCCTTCTACTCGTAACAAGTTGAAGTTATTGCATTCATGTTATTGAATGAAATGAAATGTTGAAAATGATGATAATGTTAATTAACATCATTTGTTTAATGATAAGATGTTTAACAAGAATCATTATTGTGAACCTATTTTGCTTGCTTGTTTCAGTTAATTCAATTTGCATGTTTGATTAGACAGATAATGAGTGTTACATTTGGTGCAATTAATTTTTCATTTTACAATGTAACTTAATCTAGTCATTCTTTTCAACTCTTCAATAGATAAACCAAAGTTGTCCTTGGATATTGTCGGTGATCAAAAGTATGCAATCCAAGGAAGCATCGTAATAATTGACTGTTCAGTCGATGCCAATCCACCAGTCAAATCAATCGATTGGTACTTCAATGATAACCGTCTAATTCCAGATGAGCCCAAAGGTAAGAAATGCTAATAGATTCATCACTCGTCAGTCGTCATCAAATGTCGAAATTTTGTCAAGATTGCAATTTCCGTGTTCAGTAATTTGGATTGTCAAGATTAAGCTGTGACCAAGTCGAAACAAGAAGAGCAAAAGCTTGAATCGAAAGATTTTTCAACTTTTTGACTACAACTTAACTCTTGAGAAAACGAAATGTTTTTCAGTTTCTAGAATCAACTTTAATCTTAGCAAGGCAACTCTGAACATTTACAGACTTCAGAATTCGTTAGATTTTTCTTCGTTTCTGTATTTACGTAAGTTTGCAACTGTCTTTTGGGAAACTCAGCAATCGTGCCAAAACAAATCAAAACATCGTTTGGATTTTTGTGTCTTTCGAGTTTGAATCTTGTTTTATGTTTTCAACTTTGATCGAATCTGAGGATTTCAGTCTTAACCGAATTGAAAGTTGAAACACTGAGAAGTTGCTTTTTGAATGATGCTAAAAATAATCATCAAAACTGAATGTTGCTTCCATGAGACAAATTGGCCAGTTAAATATCAAATTCAAACTCACAGTTGAACCTTTTTTCGTTGCATTTTCCATTTTGAAAGTTTGATCGGAGAAACAATTTAATCAATTGAGTTAGACCATTAATCACCGACTAACTGCTCTAAAACACAACCAAATTCCCAAATTGATCTCCTTTTCATCATGATCAACATTAATGTTCCAATCCAAAGACCAGAATTGAGTGTGCAAAGTCATCAGAAAAAATGTTCAAGGTGATGAAAGGAAACGAGCAAAAAAGAGCAAAATAAGACTAAAGAAGAAGCAAAAAACTCGACAAGAAACTAAGCAAAAACGATAAATTGGATAACATCAACAATAATATTGACAGTTATATCAACCACTAGCGGAATCAAATGCTATCAGACAATAATGTTTCCACAGCAAAAAGAGCAGCAGAAAAAAGAGCGATCGAATAAAAAACAAAATTCATTGCCTTTTCTGCTGTTTCCATCTTTTGAGTTTGCAGAATCTTCGCCAATTGGAATGCAATAATCGTTGAGACAAGAAATGTATCCAAAAATGTTGCCATGAAAATGATCATAATTCATGTGAATTCAGTTTCCATGTATTATTAGGTGTTAAGCTTTGACCCTGTTTCTTCTTCATTTTCCCTTCTATTCTGATTCTCCTGTTAATAATAGAATCACAACATTCTGTGCATCTTTTACTTTCCTTTTTCATCATTACTATCTTGAGATGATGATGATAAGCTGATTTTTATTATTTCGAGTTTACTTGTTTTTTCTCTTCTTTTTTGTTTCTGTTCAATTAAACTGGCAGCAAAAAGAGTAAACTTTTGTTTTCCTTCTTCATTTAAACCTTCTAATGATGATGAATAGTTTCTTAAACTTGCTCAATTCATGATATTTTCGCTCTCTTGAGCTTTCATATTTTAGCTGCGACTCTTGATGAGTTCAATTTATTTTCATTTTCAAAGCATCAATCAAATTTTCTAAAGATTCAAATTGATTCGAACAGAAATTATCAAAACTTGCAAACAACGAACTCAGAAGTCGATAAGATTTTTGAATGAAGACCTTTTTATTCTGAAAAAATTCATTGAAAGAAATCGAAAAAGACATTGAAATATGATAAAAGAAACAAAATGTTTACATTGAAAACAATGCTCGAGCTCAAGGGCAAGTCAATGTATTCAATGAAACAGGGAAAGTAGATGAATGAATGCAAGAGTGTTAACCTCAAGGCAAGTGAAACAATATTGTGAGACATGTTAACAGAATTTCGTTATTTTCTTTTCTACTCGCATTAATCTGAATTCATCACTTTTTTTGGCAACTTTTTTCTTCTCTCTGTTTCTCTTTTTACGCCAAAATGATATTCAACTTTATTGACAGCAACTTTTCACCTTTCCTTGCAACACCTTGAGAAGTGAATGAAAAAAAAGTGTTGCTCATTGATTACATTAATTTTATTTATTACATGATTTATTGCAAGGCAGACAGAAAGCAGCAAAAAGAGTTTGAACCAAACACACAAAAAATGAATAAATTAAAGAATGAATAATTTATCAGTTTCTATTGACGTGTTGACGAATCTCGGTCGACACTTTGTTACATTGTTTAAAGGGAATGGTTTCAGTCTGTCAAGTTGATTGTTACATTTGGTTGGATAGAAGCGAGTGACAAATGTTTTCACCATGTTTAAGTATTCATTTCATTTTCAACCTGTTTCAACGTTTCAACATCATGACGATGAATAAAGTAAATATGAACAAGACAAATGGCTGCAAGATGCAAGTGCATATTAAGTTTGCAATGTTGAGACAAGTCGACATTTTCATCTTTGATATAAAATTCTGAATAAAAATGTTACATTTCATTCAACTGTTAGTAAATAAAGGTTTAAATAAGTTTGCATGTTCGTGCTGGAATTTCAAAGTTGAAATACGAACGATGAAAGGTTAGAAAGTTGAATGAGAAAAAGAATATTTTCATTTCGATTTAATTCGATCATGACAAAATTTTCTGCTTTTCTGGAAAAGTTACAAGAAATTGCTTCTTTTCAAATGATATTGAAGTTTATTGGTTTTGGTGCTGTGACTCGATAGTGGGTGGAAAGTGATGGAATTTAAATGGAATTGGATTAAAGAAAATTTTCTCTGATTGGAAATGATTGACTCTCTATAAATGGTAAACTTGTATCAAGTTGTGAATATCAAGTGTCACCAGATTCATGGTCATTCATTAGATTAGACTTGGACTCTTTACCTTGTCAATCATATTGTAGCCAGTCAAGTAGAGTCTTAAATTGACTTGAAGCTTTTGCTGTTGGCAGTAAAAAAAAAGATTGAACTTGAAATGTTCGATACTTGAAAAGAGTCGAGTTGAACATTATTTTGAGAAGAAAAATTTAATATCTTTTGTGAGTTAATTTTTTTCTGCTCCACAAATTTGTGATTTCATGAAGCAATTTGAGCACTTTTAATATGCCCAAGTGATGAAAGGAAACGAGGATAAAATGAGAAATTATCAAAGAGAAAAGTTGGAAAATTGAGTTTCTTTATTCATATATTAGTTTAGAAGAATAAGAAAACTCGACATTTTTCCCTTTTCCCATCATTTAAAGCATTCAACTCTGTTTTCAATGTTTTGTCATTTCTTCCAACTTGCCAGTTAGCATTGTGTTGGTTAACTTTGTCTCAAAATAATCAAATGAATTTTCATTTCTTTTTCTCAACTCACACATGAACATTATCTTCATGATCATCACCAGACAAGAAAAGGAAGAAACAAAACTATATTTGGACGAATGCCAAGGTTATCAGTTTCATGAACCACTGTAATGAGTAAAACAGATTCACAAACAAGTTTGAAAATGCATCGACTTGAGAAAATTACAATAGAAAAATTAAAAAGTAAATTCGACAAAAGAGAATAGAACGAAATTATATGATTTTATCGAGAAGAAGATGGAAAAGTTTTGGATTTTCGACATTACAGAATTTTTCGATCTTCGAATCATCATGAAAGGTCAATATTTTCCCACGTTTCTTTAAGTGTTTACTTAATGAATAATCGTAAAACTTGTGATGGGAGTTTTATGTTTCCGAATTTATTAAAAAATAAAAGTTCTATCATTATCGAGTTATCTTTTCTTCGAGAACAATTTATTCTTGTTCTCGTTTTGAATATCTTTCCATGATACAATGGAACCCTGTTTGTCTCTTATAGAACATGTTCTTAAAATAGAAATAGTGAACCATTGACATGGTTATCATGGAATGCAAATTTACTCCCAAAATTAACTGGCAAGTGAATGATATCAGCACACTATTGAACAGGTCGAAGTTGCTCTGGATAAATGGAGATTCAACCATTTTTTCAAAAACTTTTCACTACAAAAAAACATTACTCATTTACATTATTTGATAAACAGAAGTCAATATAATGAAAAAAAGTAATAACGATGTTCCTTCGCACCTCGAAAAACCATTACTCTTTTATTTCGTCATCAACAATGGACATTCCCAAGTGGCTTTTAATAATGGAAAAAAAACTTTCATCATAAAAGAAACTATCTATGGTTCAATTTTTGAAACATTAGCTTTTAATAGAGTCAAAGAAGCATCGAATGATAGTCCGATCAAACAGAATTCATTTTCTCATGGTTAACCTTTGACAATGGAAAATTAGATAAACGGGAAATTGAGTTGCACAACATTTCGACATGAATATCATTATTAAGCATTTCGATTTTGATATATTTTATCTTTCCAGGAATTCGTCTTGAAAACAACAGTCTACTGATAATGAATCCAAAGCCTGAACAAAATGAAGGAAACTATCGATGTGGTTCGTCCAATTTCTTGGGTTCTGCCTTTAGCAACTACCTATTCCTCAGTGTATTTTGTAAGTTGAAATCACATTTACTATTGCAATAAAGATTTACATTGAATTTCACAAACTTTCTTGTTTTATTGATAGATGCACCTGTTTGCCGTGAAAATGACTTAAAGAAAAATTATGAAGTTCGATTGGGTGAAGCAGTAGAGATAAAGTGTTTGGTCGATGCTTCTTCGAAAACCAATCTAACCTTTACTTGGAGTGCATCAACTTCAACCAACGAGAATCGCAAGTTGCTCACCAATTACACATCACACAGTGACACTAGTTACCTTTACTACCGTCCAACCAAAGTCTATGATTTCGGATTCATCTATTGTTCAGCAAAAAACATAGTCGGCCATCAACTGGAGCCTTGCATATTCACCATTAAACCAGTCCGAGGTAAGCTCAAGACTAATTCACTTTCATCTTCAAATCTTTTACGAAACAAATCTGACTCATGACATTAACCATGCAAAAATGTTCAATGAAAAGATGCAGAAGAAAAATGAGCCAAAACTCAATTCAATTACTGCTGCAACCAAAAAAGCATCAAAGTTTTAAAAGAAAAGAGAAACTTATTTTCGCTACTTTTTAGAGTAATAGTAAGCGAAAGCTGTCAAACAGTCAACTGTAAAATGAGCACCAAACGAAACTGTTGTGGTGATCATCAAATAATCGTTAAAATTCTGGATTCACCATTTATCCACATTTATCGAAATGAAGGAAACTTAATCTAATAATTTGTTATGATCTTCATTGTGATCATTAAGAGTAAAGCTCAAGATTCATCAGGCAAACACTGTTGATCCATTGAGTAATATTGCTCTACAAGAATGATGACAACATGAACAGGGATTATTTTATTTTTTTGTTTCCAAAACATTTTCTTTTCTTTTTGCTCAACAACTTGTTCAGACTTAATCATATTGAGATCATGTTTATGAGCAAAAAGAAACTGTTTTCTTTGAACATCGAGAAAAAGAGAAGAAAAAATGATGAAAAAATCCAATTGACAACTTTACTCATTACAATGGTTTGGTGCAATTGTAAAGATTTATTAACCAACAATCATGTTAACAATGTTTACGCCTTAACGATATTTTGTTCAGAAGTGTATTAATATTGTTTGCGAGTCACAATCAAACTTGGTACTTGAAATGGATGAAAATTGTACTTTTTCAAACATAATTGATTGAGTTGTACATTTTATTATTGCTAAGTATAAATGAAGTATCGAAGCATCAAAATGTTTTTGGTTTCTCGTTCGTTGCCTCATCCTTCCGATCAATCTTTCAAATTGTTTCATCTTTCAAGTGTTGCACACAAATTGGGCAACATTTCGAAGCATTTATATTCTTTGGCAATTTGCTTCAAGTTTTTCAAACAAACTCATCAAAAAGAAAGAATTCTGTTTTGCATTCGATTTGAGCATCCATAAGATTTCCATTTAATCTGAAGAAATTTTTTTCTACAATTTTCATTCGAATCATTTGCGTATCAAGAAAACATCGAAACTTCTGCTAATTGACAAATCGAGTTTATAATTGCTTTTGACGAAGCTTTATCGACTTTCTAACTTTCGCAAGTATGCGATGCTATTCGAAGAAAAAAAACGTACTTGACCTGTAGGGCTTATTCTCAAAGCTACTTAGCTTGAATGGAATCGCCAGTTTGCAAAAGATTTATCAGCCTCGTGTGAAAACTTGAAATCAACTTATTTTAGACACAATCAATCTGCTTCTTAGAAGGTTTTGATGAATTAATCGAATCCTATTGTTTCAAGATTTAGCTCACATTTTCGTTGCGGAAAATTTTCACTATTATTGTCTCTCTTCAAGTATTTTAGCCATTTTTCACTTTGAGAAGCTCAGTTTGATCAACAAATGCAAGTATAAAGTTTTCTTGATTTGATCAATAATGTTTTGTATGACATTTTTTAAGGGTTAAAATGTGCCAACATGAATATTTTAGTGTGAATGACGAGTTAAAAAAGAGAAGTTGAATGAGATAAATCAGGTCAACTGATATTCACTTGAAATAACAGCTTGGCTAAACGAGCTTTTTATCTTGAAAATTTTGAAACAACCATAAACTCTAGATAAACTTGGTGTTCAGGGTAAATGACTGAATGATAATACAATAAACTGGAAAGAAATTGCATGGTGAATTGCATCAAATAGTGATGATCGGAAATACAGTGAAAAGGATCGGTTAAAAGATGCTAATGGTTTTCATACTCTTTTGTCTTTTGATACTTTGTTTCAACTTTCAAGTTCATTATTGAATCGATTATTTTTCTTCATTTTCAGCGACAGATTTCTGTTAGTTAAACACATTCAAAGGAAACTCAAATTGTTTCTCTGGTTTACGAACAAAATTTCAATCCGTTGCGTTCAATGATTGAAACTTGTTTTCAAAACTGTTGTATTCAATAAATAAAAATTATCTTACTTTTAGACTGAAGTTGAATCATTATCGCGATTGCCAGCATTTCAATATTAAATAGAAAAGTATTTTAATCAAGACTTGAGAGTTTCAAATAAGTGTGATTCTTGTTCAGCGAATGGATATTTTAACGAATCAGTGCATATATAATGGGAATTTATCGAATAGCTGCACTCAACAGGAAAGAGACATTTTTTTCCATGTACTGTGGATGTAGTTGCTTGCAAACGCAACTTAAACGATTCGAAACAGAACAATAGTTTGAATGACTAATGATGAATTTGTGGCCATTAAAATAGATAAAGAAAAGTTGAATCTTTGATTTCATTGATTGAAAGTGTGAAAATGAAAACTTGAATGCAAAGTACGTTTCTCTTTTCGACAATAGTTGATCTGTGACTTCCCATTTTCGAGCAAGTTCAACGTAAAATATTTGCTTAGCATGATCAACATGCGCTCTAACGGAGTCTAAATGTCCAGTCCAGTTTTAAATGTATTGTTTAAAATAAAGATTTCGATAAATAGATTAATCATGATTGAGAACAAATTGACAAGTTTCCAGTTGACCACAAAAAAAAGTGAAATTTGATATTGTTATTAGATATTAATCGGGAGACGAAATGCAAAATGTAATAATATTAATCAATCAATATTGACGAATAAATAACAATGATCAGCGATTATTGTGAACTCACCATATAGTGTTAGTATAGACTTAGAATTGTCGGTCAATTGAATGTCAACAGAAGTATAACAAAGTATTATCAATGAATCAAATGATCGTTTCATAAAGCATTCAATGCAATAACGGTGATAATTAAAGGCTGTTATATGAATCGATGCTAACCTGAACTAAGACCTTCAAGACTGCAAAATGTTAAAACATAATTTAGATGGCAAAAGATTTTTTAGCTCGGATCTAGCAAATTGAAACAAGCTCTTTGAAACATGCTTTGTCGAAAAAAATACAGAATATTTGATTTATTTGAAATTCGCGAAGCTTTACTAACAGCACAGTGTTACAAAGATAGTTAATAGCAAGTGAGTAAATGTCTCTTCTGTCATTAAAGTTTCATTAGAAATATGAATTCATTATTCAGAAAGAAATTGAAATTATTTGACTAACATTCTCCTGTTTATTTATAAGTTCAAATATTATTAATACAATAAATAAATTGCAAGTGCGATTTAAGAGAAGCGAAAAAAGGTGAAACGTCTATTGAAGAAATTTTTATGAAGTTATTTGATTGCTGCCAATGCTGGTGTTGCCAAAGCAATCGTCAGTGATATCGTAGCCAGTGTAGTAACGCAAGTTGGTGTGATAACAAAGAGATCTAAGAAAGTGAAGTCAACATCAGCACGTTCACTACGAAGGAGAAAAAGGTGAACCTGAATTTGATGAGCAAAACATAATGATATAAAAAATAAATACCTAAGATAGAAGTGATTGTATTTTATAATTACCTCTTTATTAGCGAACAATGAACCAGTTTTATATGTAAGTAAAGGGTGTAACGCGTAAAAAGTGAAGATTATTTCAATTTGATAAGGATTAAGATGAAGAAGACACTGATAAGAATGTCCAGTTTGTGTCTTCTTCTCTTTCCGGCAACATTCCTATCATTGTCATTCTTATCAAACTAGAATAATCTTCACTTTTTACGCGTTACACCCTTTAAATACACTGGTTGATAGATTCTGGTGGAAAGGTGATTAATATAAATCATGTGATAGGTTATAAGGATAAAATCCGCAAATCCCACAAAACTCATGAAAAATTTAAAGGTGATGGATCAACAATTGCATGAACAAACGAGAAGTGACTTTTAACTGTACTGATGACTAAAACAAGAGCTGTAATTGGAATGAATAGAGAGTTGAACTTTTCTGTCGTTTCAGCAGCAAAGCAATACAATCGACGAACCTTGCGAATGTCATCAATAGAGAAGGCATTCGATGAGCTGAACAATGTGTCTATTTGGTGTCCAACTCGCATGAAACAGGTATTAATATAAAGCAGAGGTCACTTTTCTTCTGTTGATGAAGTTCTGATCTTTTATTTGGGAATAATCTCTTGAAATATTCGAAATCTTAGTCCTTTTTCCGACAAGTCCTTTTTCAATGCGCGAAAAATCTCGTTTTCATCAACTCTCCTTAAAATCTGCGTTTTAATGGTGACCTGAACATTTTAATCGATCTATGTTGAGCTATATTAGTCGAATTTCATCTTTTTCAACAATTTTGAGGTCAAATTTGGTCACTTTTCGATTCTTGCGAACCCTGATATGAAGTTGAAAATGTATGGTTTTTTACGAAAGGAAAGCAGATTTTGACGTCTTTGTCCATTTAAGATCATAACTCGAAAATTTTTTATCATAATTGGTTTATTTTTGTTCTTGAAAAGTGTACCTTCATTTTAATGGTGCCTGTAAGTCTAGTCTAACTGTCTAACAAGTTCCTACAATTTAATGACCGATATCAATATAGACTGAATTTTGTTTATTTTAACTTATTTATTTCATTATTATTTAGCAATAGACTATGATGAAAATGCGAATTCATAACATGTTGACCTTCATTCCAACCATAGGCATATCAACTTTAATCATTGGTTTTTTAGTTGAATGAGAACCAGATCCACTGTTTCCTTTGCCATTAGGTTTTCCTTTTGATGCCGCACTTGCTGCTGCGGCAGCTGCTGCACTGCTTGCAGATGATCCACCTTTAGGTCCCTTTCCTTTACCATTTTTACCCTTACCTTTGCCTGCTCCACTGGCAGAACTTGAAGAACTTGAAGAACTTGCACTAGATGCAGTGCCAGGTGAACTACCTCCTGAATTGCCGTTGCCTTTACCTGAACCAGAGCCTGAACCAGCACCAGATCCTGAACCAGCACCAGAGCCTGAACCAGAGCCTGAACCTGAACCTGAACCAGCACCAGAGCCTGAACCAGA